TCTGTTTTTTTCAACGGAATTGGTAATACCATGTTTCTACATTCAAATATTCTTAATTGTCGTGAATTTACTTGTTGACTGGGAATTAATACCTTAGATGAATAAATTCTTACTATTTTGTAGCTTTAATTTGTTGTGGGTTGAAATTTTTCCAACCAGTTTGATTTTTGATCTCCTTTGTTTCAAAGAATACAAAGGAAAATTAAACTAAACTGGTTTAAACATTTTGCACTAAAGATAATTTAAACACAACATAGGCAACATGGTCTTTACAGACAGAAAAGAAGTCGCTCAATTATGATGTAAACCTTACAATAAATAGTCAGAACAGAGGGGAAAATGTTGTCTTTATGTTAACGCCCAATTTGTAGCCCCTTACAATCTAGGGAGAGAAGAGATTTGTAGGCAATTTATGGGTTAAGTAATTCATTCATGCCTCACGTGAATGTGATATTCACACTAATATTATGTTAGGTTGTGCATTACAACAGAATGTACACACTGCCCACATCTGGTTTACAATTCCCATTTGATGTAGTGGAACAACTCTGTCCCAGATGTGAAAATTCTTAATCTTGTTAAAGGCAGGTTCAACATGTATCCGTAAACTTGCAATTTACCACATCTTCTAAAGCTATCTGAGAATATGCTCCAAGAAAGGATGGCAAATTTAAACTGACTCCCAAAGGCAACAAATCCTAAACTTTGAATCCCTTATCTGCCGTAATGGAGTCTTTGTCATCAAATGGTAGATTTAAGAATCCACCCCATCTCACAATTTCCTGATCGTAGATAGAACCTGCATACAGTTGACTTGAATGTCACTGCTCCACTGGGAGAAATACCAACCAAACCTTTCAAAGTTGTGTGATTTTTGTAAGCACTGAAAAGTTCTCAATTCAACTGCAAGCTGCTTGGCATTTGACATATAACCTCAGTACGGTCAATTATGACTCTAGTAGATTTGTACCTTCCCTTAAAAGATTCGGGTATCGTATCAATTACTTTTCTGCTGGGCCAAATGCTTATTTGTCCAAACTTAAAGAACATAAAATTGACCCATGTGAAAAATATTCTACTTACTGTGGATGCTTATACATTAAATAATTGAGCTAGATGGTCCTCTGGGAATCCTTGCCTTAGTCTACACATGACTATTAAAAAAATTAATCATGGGGCCTTAAAGATCTAGCTCTTCCCTTTTTTGTTAGTAGTCTGCCCTCACTGTTATCAGACTAAGTGATTTTGTCAGTTTTTGACCGCCAGTAGGAAATGATAAAGATACTCAAAAACAGCCATTAAAGTGTCCCAGCTTTGAAAGCCAGTATAAAAAGCAGCATTGGAATCTTTTGACTTACAGTTTTTAAAGTTAAACAATCTTTTATTAAGAGCATCACGTTACCGCTGGATATCTTGAAGTTGGCGCTTAAGTTCCTCAATTTCCTGTTCGAGTTTATGAATCTTGTTGTTATTGTTGTCAATAATTTCTCTCAAGTAGGCCTCCTGGTCGGTAAAATCAGTTTGTGTTTCGTCTTCGACTTTTAAGCTACAATCTGGTAGATCTGGGACCATTTCGTTTGATAATTCGTTTGACGATTCATTTGATAATTTTTCAAGAACAACAGCTGGGGTAGACAATTTTTGTGATGCACTTTTCGAAGCTGTCAGTTCCAAGTTTCTTTCCGCCGACTCCTTTCCTTTGCGTGGCGATGTTCGAATCCATAAAAACACAGAAGGTACACCTCCATCTCTTTGTTAATTTTTGACCGCGAGACATTTCTAATATAACCTTTCCTGAAATGCTGGGAGCGTATCTTTGTATTTTCAGTTACCTTGAAGTGCTTTCCCTCGTCTCTTCTTATCGCGTAGAGGCATTTCTTCTTAACGGGTTCTCGGTCGGAAATTAAAAATAAGACACTTTTGTCCCATCGTCTATCCGGTAGTATTTCTTCGTACATTCTGGAACACAACAATGAGTCGGCATTTCCTCTTCTTGTAAATAATTCGATCGAATCGAGTCAAAACAGATCACCTATTCAACCTTAGTTGACTTTTTGTTTACAGTGTTGTCCTAAGGAGTGGCCTTTCTGACCTCGGTTTCATGTTTAATTAATTACCAGTCTCGCGCGCCGTGGCCATTATGAAAGTCGTGTATAAGGTTAGCCTACCTAGAACAATAACCTTCTTGTACAAATTAGACCAGGTTTGTACTGATAAGAGAAAAATCACTGTTTTACAAGAAAATAATGATCAAGAATTGGCATCAAACCAAAGCCCTGGGTCTGCCATAAATTTTAAACTTAAGAGATTACTTTAAAAATAGAAATATGCTCATGCGCAAAAAAACTATCTGTGGTACGAGGGCGAGCTTTCTTTCTTCATTTAAAAAATGGTGTCTGTGTTATGAGTAAATATCCAGGAGGATAAAAAGTCAGACATGGTCTGCACAACTCTCTCTTATTTCATTTTTTTAACCTTTAAAGCTAAGGCATTTATATTCTTGCTTTTCGCATTACGTGGTCACATATCTTGTGACCAATTCATTATATCAATGTTTAGTTTGAGTGAGAGCATTGATAAAAAACACTATGCACTATTGAAAGCTTGAGTATTTAACGCAATCTAAATAATAATATTATATGTTACAATGTGGTTACTTACACAACAAAATTATATAATCACCATTCCAAACAAAGGAAGTCAAATTATAGACTCACCTGCTTCAACTTTTGAGGGCTTAAGATACAGAGAAATGGATGTGGAAAACAGTTGGAATTAATACAAAGTTGAAAATGTGAAAGCTAAAAGATACACATTAGAATCATCAAAGCCTATGCATCTTAGCAAAAAGAGGGTCAGTTACCACCACAACTTCTCCCAAACATTCATGCTTACAGGAAATCATTAATTTTTCTCATTAGATGGTACTGGACTTACCATAGTTCTACCAACACAAATGCTTTTTTTTAAAGTTATCTCATAGCATATCACTGTACAGGTCATGTGGAAGGTTCCTGCATGGGGACTAACATTTCCTGATGATTTTGCTGATTTCCTCAGCAAAATTTAATCGTTAGAATTGCAAGCCAAGGTGTATTTATCAAGTTCTCAAGTTTCTAAATTAGTCATCTAATTGTTACAGTCAAGTTCACTCCTTTTTTTTCTCACATATTCAAATGATTACCTGAATCAAAAGTTATGGTGTTTTTAAGAACCTGCTTCCTCTAATTGTGCTTTGGATATAGTAATTAGTATTGAACAGAAAGGAAGAAAGATCTTGAAAGATTCTATGTTAAACGAAACTTCGTTATGAATGATAACTGCGACGGCAACGAAAACATCTGTGAAGCTATGATAACAATTACCTTTCCATGTAAACAAACCATAATGAAGCATGATATAAATAAATTAAATCTCACCCAGTTTGAATGTATAATCTAAAATCTAATTAACTTGCTGGTGAATGGGAAAAAACTTCAAAGTGTTTTTCCTGCTTTTATCATTCTGAATATCTCAAATCAATCACCACTTCGGTGTGACTTTTTTGACGATGTGTACTTTTTCTTATGGTCATCTATTTTTAGTACGTATCTTTTACCAGCTGACATCTGAGAAGAATCAAGTGCACTTTCAATTTTCTTTTCATTACTTGCAAACAGCTTATTTCTAGTTGCTTTGAAAACTTCTGTATCTCCGCTTTCAAAGAAAAACATTACCCATGAAAATTAGTATTGCTTTAAAAACGCTTATAATGGAGAAACAGGTTTTTCCATGATAAGTGTTTCATAAGATAAGATTCTCATCACATTTTTTTATGTTTCAAAGCCTAAGTATAATTTAGTCATTACAGAAAGATAGCATATAAATGTAACATTATATTCCAGTAAAGTGTTCTAACTTTCCCAGCCAATGAGGAGGCTACACTGAAAAAAACAACCAATCAGATTTCAAGGCTTGTATAAAGTAACCAATCTAATCGTAGGAAAATGAAAGGCAAAGGGTATCATGTGGCAAATTTTGCAAGCTTTGTTTCCAAAACTCTTGTTTTTTCCCCCCCAAAATGGATGAATTTAATTTCAAACTAGCTCAGTACTGCATCAATAAAATATTTGAGTTGACCAAGTCCTGTATTTGGGCAATTTCAAAATGGATGTAATAAAGTGGTAATTGAACCTTGTGCCGTGCAATTTTGGTCTGAAATCATACTTGTGATTTCGTTCGATTTTGAAATCACAAGTATGATTTCAGCCCAAATTGCACTCCACTCAGTTCAATTACCATAATTAATTACTGATGAAATTCTGAGGGTGTGACTCAATTAATTCAAAAGAAAAGGCCAAGCAGGTTACAGAAATGGTTGACGAATTATAAACTGATAAATGGGGTATCCAATCATGGCTGCGCATTACCTACTCCCTCGCCCTTAAATTACATAATGGCTGAGATATTGCCTGCAATGCAGTTAGCATGCTAAAAGTAGCACCTTTTACGGTCGGTCGTACGTTCTCAGGTCCAAAATTTTCCGGCTTGATGGGTTATTATTACTTCCTATCATTATGGGGTTACGCTGCGCGCACTGGTGGCTCCGCTACCACCACCACGACTGCTATTACTGTTACTATTGCTACTACCGCTACTGCCACTACCACTACTACTTGTACTACTACTACTGCTACTACTGTTACAACTACTACTACTACTACTTCTGCTACTATTGTGACTACTACTTTTACTACTACTACTGTTACTACTACTACTACTACTACTACTACTACTACTACTACTACTACTACTACTACTACTACTTCTGCTGCTACTACTACCACGTTTACTACTACTGCTTCTACGACTACTACTACTACTTCTACTACCACAACTACTACTACTACTACTACTACTACTATTGCTACTGATACAACTGTTACTACTACTTCTACTGCTATGGCTGCAGCTGCTTCTATTGCCAATGTTAACAGCTGCATTGAATATTTTTTAAACAGACAGTGCATTCAAGGCTGACGTTGAGATGGATTTTCTGGGGATTAGAGGAACAAAAGGTTTTTGTGTTCCAGATTATTTCAACTTTGCTGACGTTATAGACGAGTGGGCACAAAAAGAAAAGGTAAGTAGAAATGTTTATAGAGAAGATAATTTTGTCGACACTCATTGAATAGCTTCAAAGAGAATTATTTTTCTCAGTTTATCATAGAACTGTAAATACTGACTAAAATCTTATTTTAACCAATGTTTGTCGTAGTCTTATTATTTTTAGTGTACCCATCTACAAGAGTATGTATGAAAGTGTACATGTGTCGATGGCGTTATCTCTAAGCTTTTTTAGTTCAAGGGTTGTTATCAAGGTAACTGATAAACTAAAGATTCGTTTGTGTACGAGGAAGTCGCATTCAAATAACTTGTTACACTTCTTGAAATAATCGAAATTCATTCTCAGATTGAAAGAAATCGTCTAACCCACAATTTAAAGGTACTCTGTGTGGTGCATACGAACGCTCGAGAAAGCGCAGAGTCCTGTTGTTATGGTTTTTTATGTCCTCAAGTCCCAGACGTAGGATGATAATAGAAACTTGATTGATGATAAATTATTTATTTTTCGCTTCATGGGTATCTAAAAATGTTGCAAAAACAACAACGTGAAAAAAACAGGCAAACAAAAATTGCACAGATTCGAAAACTGAAAAGCGAAATAATGTTGGTCGAACCACGTGTGACAGACTAAAATTATTGACATTGTCATTTCTTTTTTTCTGATGTCTGCTCATTGTATTACCACATACAAAACCCGGTTGATAAAAAATCATAAGTTTCTATCCTTCAGTCAGAGAGGCAGAGCATTCTGAACAAAATAAGTTGACAGAATACTCATGTTTAGTTTCTTTTAAACGAGTTTCGTTTCAAATAACCTGTCTCGTACGTCTTCACGGACAAAGCTTTGGCCCTCTGTCAATACACCGAGTGAAAAAAGATTTTTGATGATAATTGAAATAAAAATAAAGACAATAGTGATAATGACTATACACCTACTAATAATAATTAGAGTAGCGATGAAAATAATATTTAATTTGATTTTGAATCTGCTTCTCTTGTCACTATGAGTGTTATACGATTCCTGTTCAGCCGTAGAAAGTTTCTCCAAACTGTGAGGATATAGACGTATATATGTTTTTAGATTCTGTAGGTTCGATTTCGGCCTCTCTCTGAGGTCCGGACAACGTTCCGTTTTAGGCCCATTTCTTAAACAGCGGATGGTTTCCCATATTACGCTCCTGAATTCGGGTATCTTTCATGTTCTTATAGGAGGGCAAAAAACAAAGTGATCATCCAGCTCTGTGGTGGATTGATGGTGCTGGTAACGAGGTTAAGTGGACTTTTGGAGATGTTGCTGTGAACTCTAAAAAGTAAGACACATCCTTCTGTATGCAATTTACAAAGAGCAGCCATAATCTTAAATTTCAGAGACCTGTAAATACTTTCAAAACAGTTGAGACAGCATCTATAATTGTCATTGAATAGAAAACGTAAAATCTTCAGTGCTATGTCTCATTCATCATAATTGATTAGGAGCCGGAATGACTAAGGCATTTTAATTTAAACTAATGACGGAGCGACGAACTGTAAGGCAAGTTCAAACTTGGATAACGTCTGCCTCTTAATTGATATTTATGACTGAAATATTTTTTGCTTTAAATAAATGTCAGTGAATGTATCAAGCTAATATTGCAAAATGGAAACAAGATGTGACTGAGGATCACTTAATTTTACATCTTCCTTGTTATGTTTTCAAAAAGGTTATATGCGTACACATTCCAAACTCGCTTCACTCTGATATTAATGAATAATTTTTCTCTTGTTTTGAGAGTTGCTAATCTTCTGTCTAATGAGGCTGACGTCAAACCAGGAGATCGTGTGATGGTGATATTACCAGCAATTCCAGAATATTGGCTGATACAGGCGGCCTGTTTGAGAACAGGTACTGAATAGAGCTTTTTCTTCAAAGATAGACACTTACATTGAAGTGGACCCGTTACTATTGATGGTTTAAGAGGAACAGACAAGTACATTGAAGTGGACCCGTTACTATTAATGGTTTAAGAGGAACAGGGACACAAAATTGAAAAACGAGAGGAGGAGGGGTTATCTTCAGCGTTTTATTGAGGGAAGTTTTGAAAGGAGATACTCAGCCTAGTGGTTTACGGTCAAGTCGCCCCGAAGTTATCTCGCTCGTAGCCTGAGTCATGTCGCCCGAAATAAAAATCAAGTCGCCCGATTTTTTCATCACTTGTAAACACATCAAAGTTGGAAATTTTTAGAAATCGCTGAAGGAACCGATTGATCAAAACACCCTTTATTGTATTTTCTTACATTACCAATCCTTCAACAGTGAAATGTCACTGTAACTGCTGCCTCATTCAAACGTTCAGCATATATAACCAAAATAGACAAAGATTGTTTTTGTGACACTTTTTAGATTATACGCTATAACGCAAACAAATTGGAGCTTAAACGTAATGCAGTTCAAAGTTAATGAATTTTATATTCATTTCCAGGTAGTGTATTCTTAATAATGCCAACAAATGTTGGTCCAAAAGAGCTTCACCGAAGAATGTTAAAATCAAAACCAGTGTGTGTGGTGGCAGCTCCTTGTGATCAGGTCAATAACGAACTACTGGATGTGGTAGATGAGGTGCGTCATTCCTAATTCATTAAATTTTATTCTTTCGTTCCATCGTCGGTAAATATTTATTCATCCACGGGGGAAGCCACTGGAAGACTATTTTTCAGTGAAGTGACTCACGCCGTTTAGAAATAATTTCAGAGCTTCTGTTCTCCCTTTCCTTTCGGTGCAAAACAAAATGGCTGTCGGTAGCTCTCGAGGTTTCTTCATCGATATCTAACAAAGATATCCTCCTGGTGAGAATAAATATAATTTAAAAATTAACTAATGTATTTTAAAAGTCTACTAGCTTCTTTCTTTGAACTAAAACTAATAATTTGATAGAGCTTTGGTTGACGATAGTGCGACTATAACTTCACTGAATTTTAATACCAGTTTAACCGAATTAAACTCCATCGATTATCGCTAAATATCTGTCAAAGCTCTTTGATATTATATTTTATATTATATAGGTAAAAATAAAATAATGATAAGAGAAGCGTTAGTAATCATATAATAGTAGAATCACAAACTACGCTTACTTGGTTCCCGTTAAGAAGAAAGCGAACCCTAATCTACTTCAGTTGAAGCAAATGAATGTCAAATTCTTACCTAAGGTCCTTTGGGATACAAATCAGTCTGCAATGTACACAGCAGCAGTCGGTTGAATCAGTACACATATTTTTGGCGTTAGGGTTATAGTCCTGAACAATAGATTTAAGTGAGTCGTCCACGATGGTGATAGAACACACATCCATGAACACCGCGTCCTCTCTGAGTGTGCCAATCTCACACACTCCAGCTGAAATATTTCAACGCAAGAAAAGTTGTATTTTAACTTCAGACTTCTCCACTGTTCGAATACGCCTCGGGAATCATTCGACAACATTTCTCACACGACAAATAGCTTTTGTATTTTAAATCTTTGCCTCAATATAACGTTATCCTCACGTATCACTAAACTGCGCTGCATCAGATATGTAATATTTTCCACATGATGTATTGTAACATTTTGGCACTGTGTTTTTTTAACGGATCTTGTATGTTTTCTAGCGCTAATTTTTCACGATAAGTGGCAACGTTAACCGTGAATCTGTTACTTCTTCTCTGTTCTAGGTTTTTTGCTCTGCGGAAGTCGATATACGAAGCAGGATTTTGGTCAACAGAATGAAATATGAAGAAAGGTAACCTCAAGTTTTTAAAAGATCTTTCAGTTCACTTCAAGAAATATCCTTATGAATCTCTATCAAAATGATAACTCGTTGAAAAAAGACCTTTTTATTTTGCAGGCGAAGAGATTGGCTCTTATTTGAAGATCTCTTTCAAAAAGCAAGTGCTGATTATCACGTATGTGAATGATTCATACATGATTTTATCCCTGCATTCGGCCAGTGACTTCAGTAGCAGTACGGTACCCTTCTGACTGATATAGCTCTGCGGGGCAAAGTAAGCTGCGGATGTTCTTTCAACAGGGGAACACACGACAGTGTTCTGGTTTGTCTCCCCTACTTCCCACCTAAAAAGGGCGCAGGGACAAGCCCTGACCTCGTAAATAAGGCATTGAACCTCAGGTCGAGAGGTCCGAATTCGAGCCTGGCCGGCGTTTAATTTTGCTCTCAGGCAAGAAATTTCATTCTAATCACCCTTCTCTACCATGGGGTATCGATGGGTACCTGCAAACTTTAAGGTAAACCACGCGAAATCCCAAGAGATAAGCTGCTTTGTCATGCCTTTCCTTTTTCATTAGTCCGTGAAGTCTCAAAGCTCAGATCCTGTAATTATATACCACACAAGCGGAACAACGGGGAATTCTAAGATGGTAGAACATTCACAAGCCAGCACAGGCCTGTGTAGTGGTGGAATGAGGAGGTACGTCGCTTGGTTGGTTGAGTTACTGATAAATTAAACTAGAAGAAAATGAACATGATTTGTCGATGGCCAATGTTTTTACATCTTTTTTGTAACCATGGTAAAAAGAAAAATAATTGGAAAAGTGCAACCGCAAACAATAAAGCAATTCTAAAAAGTATTTAAGCCACCAATCAATTGGTAGTTTTTGGATCACAGCGATACCTGAGCAGTCGAATGCCTGTGGCATACTAAATTAATAAGTCGACAGCCTTAATCGTACACATTTACAGATGGAGCAATAAGTTTGCAATTGCGACTCACTCTAAAGAGCATTTTATTATTCGTAGTATATGCATCTTAGTTGCTACGCCTGACATGGAGATTCCCTGGTTATCATGAACACTGTTTTTGGTACTTGCATTCTGAGATGAAAATGAAGTTCTTCTCAAAACACGAATATCCCTTCAGTGCGTAACACTTTGAACACCTGAACGTCCTGTTATCTCCAAGGCAATATCCCTTTTGCTAATAGTTTTGTTTGGAAGGTTTACGAGTCTGAAGCGGGCCTCAATTGTTATTTCGTTTTGTTTCAGGTCTCATTTCGTGGAATCTGACTTGATTTGGATTGCTTCCCCCACGGGTTGGCCAGTTCTCTCCTTCGTCAGTTTCTTCTCGACCTGGTCTGTTGGCGCTGGCACGTTCGTACATTATGTTGCATTTGTGACCGCCCGTGAAGCTTTGGAGACCCTTCAAAAGCATCCGATTACTGACGCACAATTTAGCCATTCACTTTACTTGAAAGCCTTAGACGACGAGGATCTCAAGAGCCTTAGCTTCGCGAAATTAAAACGCTTTTTTGTGGCTGGAGAGCCAGCGAGCAAGCATATGATTCGCAGATGGAAAGAGGAAACAGGGATAGAACTTTGGAATTACTATGGTCAAACGGAAACCGTACGAGTCTTGTAAATAAACAGAGGTTCATGGGTTTCCTGATCGAGAGAGAGACTCAGGGGCTAGATACATTTTCTTATTCTACTTTTTGGTTTAGAACCTAGAACACATTGTAATTATCGCCAACGGGTGCGTGATTTTATAAACGTTGGAAACAGAAAACTGACGAAATTCACCCTTCGTACTAGTGATTTAATTAGAATAAGTATGAAAATAATTTTAGAAAAAGATGTCTTTTCGTCTTGTCACGAGCGTGGGACAAAGAAAAAATTCTGATTCCCCATGAGGAATAGAACCTCAGACCTTCGGATTCCGCGCTCCGATGCTCTACCACTGAGCCACAGAGACTCCATGGTGAACAAGGTCTATTACAAAGTTCATATGACACGCGTCCTGCATACTGCTGGTATCAGCAGAATTTCTTATTCTTAGCGCTGGAATATATTTTAGTATCAACAATTATTGTAACTAGTGAACTGTATTTCTTTATGCAGGATATCTTGACTTTTCCAAGAGAACCTGGGGATGATTCCCGTCCCGATTCAGTCGGGAAACTTCTTACCGGAATCGATATGCTGGTAAGTTCTTAAAAATACATTTATTGAATGATTAGATTGCCCCCCCCCCTCTCTCTCCCTTTCCCTCCTTCCCCTTCTCTCCCTCCCTTTCTCTCTCTCATTTTTCTTGATGTTATTGCGTCTCAGATTGTCGATGATAAATATAATGAAGTAACCCCAGGTACACAGGGAAGAGTTGTTATTCGTGTGAAGCCTTATTGTCCCGTGGGAATGTTCACTCGTTATGTGGTAAGTTAGCCGCTAAACAACACAGTAAATCTCAACGGTACAACATCCAACACGCTTGCAATTTCTAGAAAAAGTAGCAGTAAGACTTTATGTGCCTTTTTGACCATGAATGTTCTCTCAAATGAATTTTTTTTGCAGGACGATCCAGAGAAAACTGAGTCATGTTTTTGCGGAGATTTCTTTATCACTGGTAAAAACAACGGAACTAAAGGGAACTAAAGAAAGATGAGACTTTTTCCTCCAAGAATTTGACGACTTATTCTCAATTGAATGTTCTTAAAGATTTTTGGGAAACTGTTACAACTATTTTCAAAAAAAGTGGATGGTTGTACAGTTATAGCTATGAAGTGGAATTCTTTGCATATCCAGTGTTTCATTTGGATAGGGATGCGACTATCAGGAGATGTGGACGTCTAAATTGGAATGAGTTTGTTTAACAAGAAGTATCGACAAAGTATTTCACCATTCTACTCGGATCCAATTCGCTCTTACTCATATCTAATACGAAAACTACATATGATGCATGGAGTATTTCTTGATTTTTGGGTTTTTTTTAGATAATAGTATACTTAGCAAATTGGTCATATTTTTGTTGATAGGTGATTTGGGTCGAATGGACGAAGACGGTTATTTCTGGATCTTTGGAAGAACTGACGACGTTTTAATCATCGACGGGTAAGAGCAGGACAGTGCATGTGAAGGTGATTTTGCTTCACCAGCATTTTCCAATTCAGTCCAGTAACATTTGACAATTGTTAGTTCTAATTTCCTAACACTCGTCGTCCAGTTGACTAAGAGCAGGATAATGCGAGTGAAGGTGATATTGCTTCACCAGCATTTTCCAATTCAGTCCAGTAACATTTGACAATTGTTAGTTCTAATTTCCTAACACTCGTCGTTCAGTTGACTATTTCTTTCATTCTCTCTTTTATTACGCAAGTTATTACAACGGGGACTAGCTCTGATCTCTCTGGGAAAGTGTGGGTCACCGCTTATAAAAGTGACATTTACGGAGCTGTCAGTCTAACCTTCGTCATGCTTTTACACTTTACTGGCGAATCACCCTAAGCTATGCAGAGCGAATAATATTCGCATACCAAGTAGATACCTTCGCGGTGTTTACGCTTTACGAAATGTCTTGCTAACTTAAATCTCCTGGTCTCACGTCAAGTTCGGGTAAAACCAAAACAAGATTGACAATATAAAAAATTATAATAAACTTACTAACATAATTAAAATCGGTATGAACTGCTTAGGTGTTACAATGGAAAGTTAAAGATATCTAAATACTTAAAATCGAACTTTGATATTTGTTTGCATACACGCAAACGCGGCAAAAACTACTAAAACAATTTGCTCAAAAAAGGTATCGCTCATTAGCGAGATCGATGACAGGCAGATGTCGCCTTCTTAGTTCTGTCGCCAGTTGTATCGCTGGCTGGTCGGGGAAAGCCGACGTTAACGTTTCATTTCATTCAAAATGTACGAGGTGTATCAGGTATAGTTGTCACGTTGTTCGACATCGAAGGCTGATTCGGTATCACTTTCCACAGATCTGCTTGTGGCAGCTTTCGGAGGTCGGCCGTGACCGTGATAAACATTCAACAATTATTATTAAGCACTCGTAGACATAACCAGATGTGTATCAATTACGTTATGAAGCTGAAAAGAAGCCAAGAAAATGACGGAAAATTTAGTTGAATCTTTTTATTTGTGCTGAAGACGATAGTTCACGGGGTGCTTCATAGTCACAGCTGTTTCCCAGCCGGAAACTTCCCTTTGGTGTTTTCACCCTCTGTATGCATGGAAGCGTAACTGACTTGCTCACTCTATTGATTTAACCCACATTCCAGATGTAACATAATCCCTGGCGACGTAGAAAACTGTCTTAAAGAACATCCAGCTGTATTGAACTGCGTTGTGGTCAGCGTTTCTTATCTCAATAGACAGGTAGGTCATTTGAATACTCAATACTTAACGTTGGCTAAGGCTAAAAAGGCTGGATTTCGATAGTTGCTGTAAGTGAGAAATCTCGAAAGAAGCGCACAACCATAAGTTAATCGTAAAAAGACGAAAACGAGAAGGCGATATATAGAGAGACTTCATCATGTGTCTAAAGACCCAATAGTTCGTGAGGGTTTCGCCTCAATGCCACAGAGTTTCTTAGATTTTACTTGTGCTCTGTCAACTTAATTCTGGGGAAGGTGAGGTTAAGGCTGCAGTTACCAAAGAAGTTTCTCGGGTAATTGATATGAAACTTTTTACCATTCCCCTGAAATGTGCCCTTGTGAATTCACTTAGCCTTCACTTAGTCTGCACTTGCAACTCTCGCTCTCGTTCTCGTTCTTGAGAAGACTTCTTGTTCCAAAACTGGTAAATAGGTCTTTTGGGCTCACCTTCGGTGCAAGAACCTATTAAATTCACAAGTGAAGTAGGGAAAACGAAACAGAGAGGTTAAAAAAATGGAGCTTAAGAAAATGATAGTGACAAACCAAAAAAGAGCTCCACTCGGTCTTACACCATGGTAGAACCATTTTGATTAGGAGATATTTCAAGAAATATTTGCACTGTGTAGGAAAACTTGGAAATAGAACTTCTTGACTATATAACTGACTGCAGTTATATATAGACCATATAAAGGCACTGAATCGTGATTTATTATTGATAAGACATTCTGCTTGCGTTTGCTTTAGATCATGAAAGCTTTCATTGTGTTATCTAGTGGCTTCAAAAATGAAAATCAAGACCATTTGATCAAAACGCTACAAGATCACGTGACATACAATAGTGCATCCTGGATGTCTCCAGAGAAGGTTGTATATATAATCCTATCCTATAAGTTTAATCAGAGAAATAGATAATACGAATTTGAAATGAAAATCTTGAATGCCCAAAATGAAACATAAGCGTAAGAGTTGAAGCTATGACAGCATATCTAATATACTGCTCGTGGATTTGATACTTTAAAGATAGAAACAAAGAAACTTTAACCCTTGCAAGGAATTTTTATGCAAAGAGGGGAAATAACTCATCAGGTCCCTCTTCCTTCACAGTAACGGCTACGTTTCAAAGAAATTTGACGTGCTTAATGTCTGTGCCAAACATAAAGAGTAATTTTACCTGTCATGAAGCTCGTCTTTTCGAAAATATCAAGGGATGTATTCTCTACAATACATTTTTAAGATATGTGCATAACAAACTGCATTATAAATTTTATCCAATTTTACAGATGGAATTCATCGATGATCTTCCAAAGACTGGAACGGGCAAGGTTGACAGACGAAAACTACAATGTGCTGATTTGTGAAAAACCATCCAAGGAAAATTGCCGCAGCTTTAAGTGAGATTGCAGCTTAGGACTGTGACATTGCAACAAGAGAAACGTTTCTGTAGCAAATAGAATTTGCATTTCTGTTTATCTTTAAGTAACTGCGAAATTGTTTTACATTTTTTTTTCTTTCAATCGAACTACTACTGTGATGTTTTGTCTCTATTCAATTAAGTTCGCGTTTTTGCATGAGGTTGTGTAAGAATTACGTAACACTGGTAGTCTTTTCTTTCTCGCCAGTATAAGCGTTGTTTTCGTTAAATAATTTCCATTGCCAGTTGATTTCAGTCGTTTCGTTATGGTTTTTGCCAGCGCCATGTTACTTTTGTTTAAGATTTTTACTACCGGACCTGGTTACGCCACAAATTGTAAGTTCGTTTCTATTTCGTAGCTTTGTCGTTATTTTTGTTGTTGTTATATTTGTACTTAGATATTTGTATTAATTATTTATTTTCAGTCGAATCACATTTGCACATCTACACATCTTTACATCTAAATATTTGTCTCTCTGAGGTTAGATTAAACTTGCATTCGTGTTGTGGCGTAAAACATGTAGTATTTAGCTACAGTTTCCATCAATGCATTCTTTACATTCTAGTATAGCATATATAATATTCTAAGGAGGCAGTGCAGCCGAGTATTTAGGAAGATGTGACATATGACTTCTTGTTTACGAATAAATGATAAATTTTCTTTCAGTTTTTCTTCGCCGAGGAAAATTCTTATTTTATGACATGCATAACTGTAGAACATGATCTATTGATGGTTTTAAAGCGAAACTGTGGTTGGCTGGTAACGATCGATATGAGTGTGTTTTTTGTACGCCGCTCCTTCGATAAAAGAAAGAGTGACTCCTAAGTATGACCGATGTAATGAAGTAATCAAGCTTAGAAGTGCAGTTTCCTATGTTCTCTTTTATCCTCGCAGGTCCGAACGGTGAAGTCAAGTACTTGTACTTTAAAAAAAACCTGTTTTGTGAGATTTCGTTTTTATTTTACAGATGTTTTTAACTTTTACTTTGGGGGATCTTTCAGTTTCGTGGGCAGCAAAACATTATATGAAGCGGTCATGAGCCAAAACTATCTTTTCACTTAACGTTGTGTATAATGCACCAAGCGAAGTTTATAATGATGACAATCTCTATGTCCTTTCTTCCCTTGCTCAAAGATGTTCGGTTTGGATCCAGTTAATATATTTGTAGCCATGATTGGATTCCATTTTTCTAGACAAAGAACAGTGCAATAAAGTGATGGATGGAAACATTACTTTTGTACAGTGCTGTGACATTTATACTTGGTTTTACAACTTTTCAGATGGTTGCGTTTATTTATTCTATTTCCTTCGTTTTTGCCTCACTGTATGATAAAAAAAACACATACCAGCCAAAAGATGTATTTTTGTTAAAGAGAAATAACTACCAAGGTTAACTTTCGATTCCCTTAAGGGAGGAGATAGCCACCAATTTGAAACACCTGTCTCAGGATTTTCTTGTCAACGGCTCCAGAATGTAGTGGGGTAAATAAGTACACCTTACACTTTCATGGAGCTATGCATAATATGGCAGGAAGATGCGGCCTGAGAATGACTTCGGGTGACCATGGGCTATCTAGGACTTTCAACTTCAATTTGAGAATGAAGTTGCTGTAGTTGTTATGAAGGCAAAAAAAAATGACATCAACGTCTGTGCAAGCGTACGCATTTACCATTTACTAACCGAGTCAGTTATCAACATGTACGCAACCTGTAAGGTGTAGACAATTTTAAATTTTACGACACTGAAATAACACGAAAATCTCTATTTTGTGCTTAGCGATGGTTACACACAGTAAAGAAGTATATGAAAACAAACTTGCAAACTGATTTGAACGAAAAATAACTGTTTAAATAACAAAAGAAAACTTAACACTCCTATTGTTATAGAGAGTGTTATTCAAAAATCAAACGTCAAGTAGCTCTATAATATCCACAGACAATTTAGCCACATCAAAAGGAATTGAATAAAAAGCACTGTTGATGCCACAACATTCAAAAGTGGACTCTCTCCTGCACCGAAATGTCAGCTATTCCCCTCAAGGACTGCGCTCTAGCTACAACCGAAAATCGGTAACAAAGTTTTTCAGCATTTTTTAGTTTCACTTCATTGCTTTTCTTCTCAAATTGCAAGAACCAGTTTCTTGGTTTTTACGACAACGTGGGTTGCCATTATCTTCTGTTTCCACTTCGAAGATAGCCATATGTTGCATTTATATTTTCTCTTTTTGGCTGAGTTGGCTTATGTTCTCCCAGGAATTTGTCTTCAAACGCCAACACCTCCCTTTTAGAAGGATTGTTTTCTAGGCTGACAAGGCTGGTGTACCTGTACGTAATGCTTTAAACACCATGGTAAACCCTACAAAAATTAACTTTCTGCGCCTAGCGTGACAAAAAAAACAAACAAATTAGATGTTATATTTATGCTACTATGCATTCAGTTCTCAGTACGATCTAGTTCAGGATGTAACGATGGATCTAATTTTCCTCTGCTATATAATTTCAAGAAAACACTTCGTAATAACCTGTGTTGTTGGGTTTAGCAAGATCACAACGGGAAAGTAAGCAGACGGAGCAATGATAGGCGAACGTGACGAACGAACCTTTAAACTCTACGAGAATCGCATGTTACTCGGGCTATCTGCTGGTGCTTTTTTCTCTCTCTAGTATTTCATTCAAAAAAATTAGTGGTTTTGGTATTTTAACCACATTACTTGCCAAAGATACTCTTTCTCAAACGAATATCATCAGCCAAACCGCAATTTATGACAAGGAAAATTTGCAGTGGCCGAATGCGTGTGATCTAATTTTTGTATGTTGTTAGCCAATGATACAAACGTTTTTCCAAAATTTAGGCTCGACATCTACTGAATATTTTTTACAGTGTGATATCATTTTCTTTTAAAAGTTTCCACTTACCTGTTCAAAGTTCAAAATTACTTACGTTCCTGTTTTTACTGCTCCCTTTTACTTAAGATACCCATCACGATAAGACATTAATTTGCATAAATTTTCATACAGGAATTTGTATTCAAACGCTCTCACCTCTCTTCCCAAAGGATTGTTTTCCAAGCTGACTAAACTAGAGACCCTGTATGTGAACCTTGATTTACTTAGTTTATCTTACAATATGCGATGTGGACTGTATCACTACAAAGTTACTAAAGACACCCATCTTGATAAAAAATTACCTTTACTTCTTTTTAAAAGTTCAAAACATTTACGTTTTTGCTAGTTCAATTATTTTTCATAAAGGGATTTATCTTCAGACGTTTTCACCTCTCTTCCCAAAGGGTTGTTTTCCAAGCTGAACTGTGGTGTTCGGATGGAAAAGTTTGTAATCAGAGTTGTAATGGCTAAACGCGACGAATCAAACTTTGATTCTGGCTTACTTAGGTTCTTATTAAACAGGTATTTGTCTTCAAACGCCATCACCTCTCTGCCTGAAGCAGTGTTCAGAGATCTAACAAGCCTTCATTCTCTGTACGTACCATGAACAATAACAATTTTATTGTACCTTATCAAATGTTCTCTTCGTACGCCGGGATCTAATGTTGACGCTAGATATAATGTATTTTCATGAAATTAAATTAGACTATTCCAAAGCCTTTTATGACATTGAATACTATATTTTAGTGTAATCGCTTGCTAGAGTTGATAGTTTTTATTCAATTACATCATCAGCATTAATTTTGTTTCTTATTTTTCTTTTTGTTATGTCTTTTATCCAAGGAGTTTATATTCAAACGCTCTCACGTCTCTCCCGGAAAAACTTTTTGCCAGGGTTACTAGGCTTAGGAGGCTGTAAGTGACTTAGATTTAATAACCACCCAAAAAAAAGTCATTTGTGGCCTTTAGTTTCCTATAAACCAGAAACAGTGTCCGCCAATCTAACTAGTCTTACCATGTGCGTTAAAAACAGAAAAACTTTGCCTTATGGGAAATAATCCTCAAACCATTGTTTAGTTATAATACTGAAATTAAATACATATTTTTTAACATTAAACCACCCCACTTCTTTTCTTCATTTTCGATACTTTATTTTTTTTAGCATTCCACTTCTTCAAATATTTGGTATCTAAGGAATCATTAACATGATCAAATCTTTAGCTTTTGGCTTCTGAGTGTTCTAATAAAATCCCCATAAATTTAAAGGATTCCTCTTCATCTGGGCTAAGTTGATTTTTCCGCAGGGATTTCCGCTATAACGCGATTGCCTCTCTTCCAAAAGGAGTGTTCGTAAAGCTCACCAGGCTAGAGTATCTGTTAGTAGATTTTTTGTTATAACTTTGGCTTAACTCACAAACTTTCTGTTGTTGAAACATACAAAAATTACACTTTAGAATGATCCTTTCATGCTGCTAACAGTACACATTTAATTTAAATATCGAATATGGGTGAAATAAGGGTTTAACTATTCTTTCAATATGACATTTCACAAAAAAAAACCGTCAGACCAAAAACGCAATTTAACACCGTGACACACTGTGGAGTTCGGATTTCACCAGTTTACAACAGAACAAAGACAGATGGAAAAGGTTGTAATCAGAGTTTTAGTGGCCGAAGACTACGGATAAAACTTTGATTCTTGCTTACTTAGGTTCCTCTTAAACAGGTATTTGTCTTCAAACGCTATCACCTCTCTGCCTGAAACAGTGTTCAGAGATCTAACAAGCCTTCATTCTCTGTACGTACCATGAACAATACCAACTTTATTGTACCTTATCAAATATTCTCTTTGTACGCCGGGATCTAATGTTGAAGCTAGATGTGATGAGTCGACATGAAATTAAATTCGATTATTCCAATGCCTTTAATGACATTTAATACTTTTTTGGTGTGAACTGAAATTATGACCTGAAATTAATGGCCCGAGGATCATTTTGAATCAAGTCGCTCAGTTAAAAATGCATAATTTTTTCATTAATCATAATCATTACAAATTCCTCAAATATTATTGGTGCATTCGCAGCTTCATTTTTCACAAATCATTCTGTACAGTTGTAATAGGACAGTGTAATCGAACAGTTGGCTGTAATCGGACAGTTGAAGCAGCCAATCATACTAAGTTCACTCAGCTAATCCACCAATCACAGAAATAATCACCATAACCATAGCAACAACTACTCACCCAAAGAAAAACTGGGGATTTCCAAAATGGAGGAATTTAAATAAAAGATATTTAATTTAAACAAAAGATATTGTCTCAAGGTGTATTTGTTTTTTCGGAAATTGAAATGGTTATGATTAATTGGTAACAGGACTTCTTGTCGTCCAATTCGGTCTGTAATCATACTCGTGATTAACAAATCAGACTCCTGCTTCGCGCTCGTCCGATTTTGTTAATCACTTGTATGATTACAGACCGAATTGGACTCCCCTCGCTCCTATTACCATTAATAATCAAAACTATGACAAAATTCTCGAACGCGATTGGTAATCACCAGCACAAGTTGAGCACTAATAGGACAGTGTAGCGTCATGCTTGTAATTAGACAATGTAATAGGATAGTTGAAGGGACAGTTAACACGTCATGACTGTGAAAGTAGACAAAAAGTGTCAAGTGCGTGCGCTGTTGTCTCGCATTTCGCCCAGTTAACTGTAGGAAAACGTACAACCAATGTCTAATTTCTTTCTCAAATTTTGTCACAGTTTTGATTAATTGGTAACAGGATTTCGTGTAGTCCAATTCTGTTGGCAATCATTCTCGTGATTAATAAATCAGACTCCCGCTTCGCACTCGTCCAATTTTGTTTATCATTTGTATGATTACAGACCGAATTGGACTCCTCTCGGTCCTATTACCATTATAAATTATGTATCAAATTGTTTCATACAACCATTATTCATAACGTGGATGGTTTATTTGGACCTAACATAATGACCAGCTCCCATTTGGCTTGTTAGCTCAGTTGGTAGAGCGCTGCACCGATATTGCAGAGGTCATGGGTTCAAATCCCGCACGGGCCTGAATTTTTCTCAGGTCTTTTTTCAACTACTAGTTCAGTGGTGTTCATAGCTGCTAAGATTTCTTATAATCGTTTCTTCACCGCAGTGCACATATACGATTTTCACATATTTACAATCATTATTGTTTCATACTCTCCAGACTTCCTATCTCGAAAGTTTTTTTTTGTTTTACTTTAAAACCCCTGCCTCCAGCTACCGCAAAATGTGCCTTGAACCGATAGAGTAACTCGTGTGATAAGTACCAGTAATTGGGGTAAGTTTGGCGTAAGATTGGAAAATCTTCTATATTGCAGTTATCGAAACTGAGATTGGTAGGGAACATTCAAGGAAAGTTTCCAAACAAAATTCCGACAAGTTTTATTTCACAGGCATCACCTTGAGTGTTTCGTCATAACTTTCGACTCAAAGATCATGAGAATAAATTATAAAAAGATATTGCCATGTGATTTTTGTGAGTTTTAACTCCTGGCACGTAACACTTTCTCCGCAGATCGGAAACCGTATATGAGTTGAGAGGTTTAAAAATGACGTTAAGCGTTCCTCTGTTATGTCATTTCACCTTGTAAGGTCAAGACATCACACTCAATATGACACCTTCATATACTGTGGTGTTCTTGTTTGTACTGTTCACAACAATGTCAGGGTGAACAGAAGAAATAGAAATCAGTATGACAGTGGTTGAGCGGGACGAATTAAAATTTGTGTCCTACTTACTAAGATTTTACTTCTACAGGGCATTGTCTTCAAATGCTATTACTTCCTTGCCGGGAACAGTGTTTGAAAACTTATCAAGCCTCCTTTTTCTGTGCGTACCTTGAACAATGCCAACTTAACATTACCTTACACCAGTTTCTCCTCATTCCTTTCTATAGCTTTAATTTTGAGACTACTCATAGTTAATTTCACATGTACGATAATTTTTCCTAATTTCTGTCGTCCTTTAGATACCTTAGTTTGTAATGTTTCACCTCATGGAAGAATTGGCTGCCTAAAGCTGTATCAAGTATAAAAGCAAATGCTTTCTTGTAAATTCTAATGCCATTGCATCTCTAACAGAAAACGTATTTTGCCAATCTTACAGTCCTTTACAACTTGTGCGTACTTTAAACCATTCCAACTTCAAGTTGTGCAGTGTTTCCTTCGTATCAGAGTTTGATAGGTTTCATGCTGGAACTAGATGAAATAGTTCCATTCTGTTAATAAACCCATTCCCGACAATCAACTTGTATTCTTTCCCCATTATGATGAAGCATTACTTTATCTCTTTATTTTCCTTCAGAGATCTATCTTCGAACGTCATTGCCTCACTTCCAGAGGGGTTGTTTTCCATGTCTGTGAGGCTTAAGTCGCTGTAAGTAGAGTTGATATAGCTTAGTTTGTCCTACAAAGTATTTTGAGCGAATCATCAAACTAATCAACTTTATAATGGTAATTGAACTGAGTGGAGTGCAATTTGGGCTATAATAAAATACATGAAAAAAAAATTAATTCTGATTGGTTAAGAAAATGCAGTTTCAGGTTATTCAGTGCAGAAGAGGGTTAATTCGCCTGTTTAACCTCGCAAACTATGATTCCATTTCATCGAAAGTGATTCGGACACAGACTGAACAATTCCTTGAACTGTTTGGCCGGTTTTGAATTTTTTTGCGCCTTAAAGATGTGAAAATATCATTTCATCTTATTGTTTTTATCGTACGCGTTTGGTTTGATTGAACGCACGATGTCGCTTGCAGGGTTTGAATAAATCAAGTTTGCACGTGATGCGCGCGCTTTTCTTCTGCATAACTATGGAAGCTACCTCGTATTTTTTCATTTATATTATTAAAACATAATCACATGATTTTTCTCGTGCAATTTGGAATAAATAAGCATTTGTAAATTTTTTCAAAGACCACAAAGTTTGTTAGTCTTCTGCACTCGAAATCATGTGATTACCTATATACCGAGGTCTAATTACCACTTTATTACATCCATTTTGAAATCGTCCAAATACAGGAATTGGTAGATTTAAATATTTTATTGATGCAGCTATGAGCCATCCATTTTTTTTTTTTTTGGGGGGGGGGGAAGTAAGACTTTTGGAAACAAAAGTTGCAACATTTGCCTCATGATACTCTTTGTCTATAATTTACCTGCAATTTGATTGGTTACTTTAAACAAGCCTTGAAATCTGATTGGTTGTTTTGTTTTTAGTGCAGCCTCCTCATTGGCTGGGAAATAGATGCGAATTAAAGCAAAAAATGGTGTGATTCGTTAAAAAATCGCACCCATTAGAGCCAATCAGATTACAGGGACCACCAGTGATTTCGAAATGGATGTAATTAATCCTATAGAATCTTTCCTTCATGTCGTTTTTAGCGTCAGAACAAGATGAGATAATGATGATTTTAGTCCCCTTTACAACATCCCCTTACTGTAAGCCACTCCTTTTTCTCTAGGCAAAGTTAGTTAATATTTTCTCTTTACAGATTTTTAAATTAAATGCTTTCTCGTTATTTCCAATCCTCACTACAAAATCTCCTTACTATGAGCCACTCTTGACCCTTCTCTAGACTAAATTAGCCGATTTTTTTCCCTTCACAGACTTTTAAATTCAAACGCGATAACCTCTCCACCTAAAGGATTGTTTGCTAACTTGACATGGCTTTTCCAACTGTACGTAGAATTTGGTATAATCTCGCCTATGCTATAAAATGCTCTCTGCGCACTATAACATATGGAAACGTGAATCTATTATTGCACGTCAGGAGTGTCCTGGAAAATAAAGAAACTGACGCCTCTAAAAAAATTCCCTTGTGAGAAGAAATGTGTGCAATAAACTATCGTTATGACGAGCAAGTACATTGGGAAGTTGAATAGTGAATAGCATTTCTAGGTGGGGTTTAACTGTTGTTCTCACGATGTATTTCATTTGATAAATTGGGTATTTTTCGAATCGATTATAACTGCATGCTTTATTGTTATCCACTATGCACCTTTTCAAGAATCTCCGTACAGACCTGAATTTTTTTTAGGCTTTATTCTCACTACTGCCCAAGTAGTGCACATTACTACGAGGATCACTTTCAGTCTTTATCCGCAGTTCAAATATATGACTTTCATATATTCTTAACCGTTTATTCATCACTTCACGGGTTTATTTGAAACCAACATCATGTCCAGCTCCTAGTTGGCTTGTTAGCTCAGTTGGTAGAGCGCTGCACCGGTATCGGAGAGGTCATTGGTTCAAATCCCGTACAGGCCTGAATTTTTTTTCAGGCCTTATTTTCACTACTGCCCAAGTAGTGCACATCACTGCGAGGATCACTTTCATTCACATACCTTTTCTTGTCCTGGCTAAATAGTTGATGTCTTCTCAGGGACTTGTCTTCGAACGCTATCACCACTCTTCCAGATGGCTTGTTTCCCAAGCTGACCAAGCTCAGGAGGCTGTTAGTAAACCTTACCATGGCGATATATAGTTTGTGTCTTATTAATTAAACAATTAGCTTTCTTTGTACATACGCCATGATAAAAAATAAGCAATGAATAAATCTTACATGGTTTTAATGAAGCTTCTGAAATCTGATAAAATTGCTTTTAGATGGGAAAACCCTTGTGTCTTTTTCGACTCGCTATTCTGAATTCTGTGGTTTAAATATGTCGATGCGAAATTAAGAAATAATTGAAAAACTTTTTTTGGAAAAAATTCGAAATGTTCTAGCTGCTTGTGTAATATCCCCTAGAAATAGGCAAAGATGTTAATTTAAATCATGACGATTATTTTCAACTTAGAAAAGAAATTTCTTCTCAATAACGATCAACTGTCATAGCCAACGAGACCGTCTTTATGCATAAGGACGGAACAGATAGAATTAGGAATAACGATTTACCGAATTTCGCTAACAAGACTTGCTGAGCTATATTTTGCCTCAACAGGAATTTGTCTTCAAACGCCATTGCATCTCTAACAGAAAACGTATTTGCCAACCTTACAGGCCTTTATCATCTGTGCGTTCTTTACACCATTCCAACTTCAAGTTATGTAGTTACAATAGTTCAGGTTTAATGCTGGAACTAGATGAAATAGTTCTATTCCTTTAATAAACCCGTTTCCTACGATCATTTTGGACTCTTTCTCTATTATGATGGAGCATTTGTTTTACTCTAGGCTAAACAAGTTGATTTCCTTTCAGATATCTATCTTCGAACGCCATTGCCTCACTTCCAGAAAAATTGTTTTCCATGTCTGTGAGGCTTAGGTCGCTGTAAGTAGAGTTGATATCGCTTAGTTTACCCTGCAAATGTTCTGAGTGAATCCTTAAACTAATCAACTACTTTATTCTTTAAAATATTCTCTACGTGTTGCTTTTTAGCGTCAGAACAAGAGGAAATAATGGGGTTAATTATTCCACTCTCGTATATATTCGCCAATCAAGGTCAACAGAGCGTTCATAATACGACACCACATTACATTATAATAAAGTTCGGATATAACGCCCGCTGTCATTGGTTGAAAGAGCGTGCTCTATGAGAGTATAGAGCATAGAGCTGAGCTAAAGCTGTCACGCCATCTGCCAAATTGTACTATGTTCGACCTTTCCCGGGACTTCTTTTTAGCTTTTTTCCGGTAATTGAAAGTGAAATTTCGGAACGAGCGAGCCGGCAAATAGCAACAGCAGAACCAAACAAAGGTTTGTAAACATACCAGGCGCCGTAATTTACGTTATTAAAACGTGAGCAGATACGAAAATCCTCAAAGGAAAAACAAAATAGACATTCCAAGTTTTAAAGATTAATTCACGCTCAGTTAGATTGCAAGCTTACGTACGGAAATAGAAATCAAACAAAGCTAACACTTATATAGTATATAAAGTTCAGTGTTCAAAAACAAAACAGAACGAAACAGAAATGATGAAAGATATAACCAAACTGGCATAACTGTTAAAATTAATTATAACGATATGATAATATGATCATGCTGAAGTCCATCGCGGCTCGCTCATCATGGCGATATCCGGTCATCACGGTAAAGCAAGCCTCAGAAACTACATCAGCCGCCCTTCGAGTGAAAAAATAAGAGATTGCTCTGATATCCTTTCCGATGCGTTTAGTGGAAAGTCACATCAGTCACTGCAGCCGAGTTTTGCCGCGCTGTCATCCCGAGCGATCTTCATGTTCCGGTGAATTCGGCTGTCGTTCATTCAAAAAACACTCGCCTTGAACAGTTTGTTTTCTCCCTCGCGTGTTTTTATGAGCCATAATTCGGCTGAAGTTCACTGAACATTTCACTTCAAGATTCTGTATTAGAGACTTAAAAACTTTAGGCAAAAGTGTTAAATTCGACCTGCCTAACTATTTTAGTTTGTAAACTATCGCAGAGTGTGAACTTTGGCGGTTTGACACTTTTGACAGCTTTAGTCTTGTACAGCCAATCAGATTATTCGAACCCTTCTAACAGGGATTCTGATTGGCTTATTGTAGCGTGCTTTATGAGAGTATAGAGCATGCTGTCGACACTGTTGTTCGCTTTGGAAATAAAGTTTGTTTTGAAAATTGAAAGTAATTCTCGGGGAATTTAATGGAATCTTTATTATAAAACAAATAGAGAAGCTTTGACTGCACTCTGTTCTGCTAGAAAGCACTTAGGAAGCGGCTAGAGCACTCAAGAAGTGGGGAGAAACACGAGACGTAGTAGAGTGTTTCTCCCTACACTTCTTTCGTGCTCTAGCCGCTTCCTGCGTGCTTTATAACAGAACAGAGCACAGTCAAGGCCTCTCTATTTGTTAACTGTAGCATTGAAGCATTCCAGTTCTTACTCATTCACAATAGAGCAAGCGCGGAAGGATAACAATTAAACCAAACTTTTTCTCACTTGCATGTTTCATCAACAGGCTTGATTGAATGCTTTCAAGTAGTTTTTCTTTCCCTTGCCAACTCCCCATAATAAAAATTACATTATCTTTTTTCAGAGCTAAGTCTGCTGATTTTTTTCCACAGACATTTATCTTTAAACGCTATCACCTCCATTCCAGAAAAATTGTTTGCCAAGCTGACCAGACTTGAGTACCTGTACGTAAGATTTGACTAAGCCAAGTTTTCTTTTTCAGATGTTTTTTGTACTCTATGAAACAAATCATCTTCTAGGTCCAACCGGAGTTGGATCGAAAATGAAATTATGAAATCACAACTCGAGCTAAATTTTCATGAAACATAACGAACTAGAGCCTTGGGTCTCTTCAGAAAATCTTAGTTGAAAAAGGTTGACATTTTACGCGTTTATGTTGAAGACCAACATCACTTCTATACTTCATCGTCGGCCTGCCTAAAGCATAAAAGCCCAAGATCACCTCGTAAACCAACGTTTGCGGCCAGTACACGACAGCATGAAAGCTATTGCACGAAATTGCGTGAAATGTCTTCGTGTAACCATTTTATCACGAAACCGGAAATAGTGCGGATCATACTTATGGTTTTTTATGTCACCAAATAAGGTCAAGACAACGCATAAAATGTGACAACGAAATACGCAGTAGAATTCTTCTTGAATGGATGACAAAGAAGGAAATACGGACGGAAACTTTGGAGTAGACGGAGTAAAATGACCGACCTTGAAGAGCCAAACTTTGACTCTTGCTAAATTAGATGTTACTTTGACAGATATTTGTCTTCGAACAATATTACCTCCCTGCCAGAAACATTGTTTGCTCAGTTAAGCAGTCTTTTTTATCTGTAAGTACGGCGAAACGTTGTATATAAACTTTGTTAGAATAATGTTCTCTCGATATAAACGTTTCTTTGTAATGTTGGAAGTAGATGCAGTTATCATGAATATCTAATTTTCCCTTTTCAATCATAAATTTTTAACATTTTCTCTCTTCCTTTTTTTTTTTATTTTCCTTCCTTTAAAGGGAAATTGGACTCCATAACAAAAGTACACTTGTTTCTGGAAAAAGACTTCCTTTTATAGAAACTTTATAAAATAATTCAAATAGTACGCGCGATCTGATTGGCCATAAAACCATTTTACATGAGCGTATGTAAACACAGTTTTCGTTCCTCTTTCATTAACACTGCTATGGTTTTAGCGTTAAACTTAGGTCCCATACGTCACAATTTTATGTCAAACCAAGTTTTCTTTCTTTTTTCTAAAACTGTCAAGTATCGGTGTCCTGACTTCAGGAGGACATTCTTTTCCCTCCTGATTTAGAAAAGTTAAATTTTTCTTTTCGCGTGATTTTTCCGCAGAACATTATCTTCAAACAACATTGCTTCTCTGCCAGGAAAATTATTTGCCAAGCAGACCCGACTGACGTACCTGTGCGTGTAGTTTGTCATACCTAAGCTAACTGTAGGATAGCGTAATTAAGTAATATCAACTGAGATTATAATGTTAATTGGCCACCGTAAAGAGTTTTAAGGCTGATGTTTCGAGCGTTTGCCCTTCGTCTGAGCGATTAGAGGAATTGTGGGTTGTGTGTGTGTTTATATGCAGAAAATGGAGCTACACTATGGTGGGAGAATAATGACGGGAAACAAGAAAAATTAGTTGAATGGAAAGCAGTCGTTGATAGCGCGGGGATTAAGACTGCCGATTAAAATATAGATTTTTGTTCTGGATTTTATCAGCTTCCCGAACTGCCTATATGCAGGGGAAGGCCGCAAACTTCCGTGTGCTGCCTAGAATGATAAGGGAGATTAAAGTGTCTAGCGACTGTTTTGGATGCGTCTTTGTCATTTCTTTCTACGTCACGAAGGCGTTCTCAGAATCAGTCACCTAGAAGTCTTGTTTCACCAATGTACAACTTTTTGCTATGAGTGCAAGTTATGCAATAAGTGCAAGTCGCGCAATAAATGACATTGGCGGGGGAACACGTGAAGTGATTAGTGATCTTGATGGATCTCTTGGGTTCTGACATTTTCTTTACGTTATGAATGAAAGGACAGGTTTTGCATAGCGAGCGAGCGTATTTGAAAGTTCCAAGTTAGTTAATTGTAGGATATGTTATGTGCCTTACATAGAAAACAACAACTTGACCCCATTTTACGGCTATTTTTTTTGTCTTTTTCTAGAAAGCTGGAGACCCCAGTCTCCAGATTTCATGATTATATGCTTCGCTGTTTTTTAATTATTTGTTTGTTCTTTTTTTTGCCGCTGTGTTTTTGGTTTTTGGTTTTTTTTCGTCATTTTTATTCCAAAAATTTATACAATGATAAGATATTAGTTTTCTCTTGGCACAGTCAGTTGATTTTTCAATTAATTTTTCCGCAGATATTTATCTTCCAATGCTCTTACATCTCTTCCGCGAGGATTATTTGTCAAGTTGACCAGATGGAGTTCCGTGTGCGTTTGGTTTGAAGTACCCTTATTTAACTTAATACATTGAAATTTACCAACTTTACCATTTGAAATGTTCTTATCAACTATTTGTGCTTCCATTTAATCCTAATGCAGGATTTAAATGTGGTCATGATGTTTAAGACTCCACAATTAGTTTCTTTTTGAGGGGTTTCCAAATACAATTGGAAAAGACAGAGAACGGAATTACAAATGACCGAGCGATGAGGAACCAATAATTTAACTTTGTTCGATATCATTCCAATGGCTGTCTTATGTTTAAATTTGAGTTTTGGCGTTTCATGTGTAACAGAAACCTCGATTTTCTGAAGCAGTCACACGATTACATGTTTTAATGCGAAATGCGAAATGACGCTTTTTCTTTAATACGAATATTCCCAGTCAAACTGTTTTTGGTGACTAAGACCATTTCAAGTCAAAACAAAGGTTCCTTTTCTTCTCGTGTTTTTTTAATAGATACTTCAGTTACAGCATGAAATCTTTGTTACTTTCCTTTCTGTTACATTTTGTCACACGATTAAGAGTCTATCATTTGTAAAGTCAATTACTTTTGCACGGCTTTACTGCGCCCCTATTGGTACATTTTGATATCTATTAGTATTCCTAATCAATGAACTTGACCTGGCTTCAAACAGGAAATTTTCCTGTTCCTTTAGCATCCTCTGAAACTTCCCATATTAGTTCGGAGATCAGTGAGCTGTAAGGATTTTTCATGTTCCATCATGCTTTCGTAAATCTCTTTATCACACACATACACACACACACACACACACACACACACACGCACACACACACGCACACACACACACACACACCCTCACGCACCCACCCATGGACGACGCTGTCTTCCCTTCTAGACAGGGTCTCAATATCGCACAACTATGACCTCGGTGTTCAGTCCGATTTGAAAACGGACTCCAGGCCTTGCACCTTCAGTATAACGTAGAACCACGATGGATTTGAACTCCCCTGCAAGTTCTGTAGACGAGGAGAATATCCGTTCGAAAGTAGACCTGCTTTTAGGTGTTTTTTTCTCGACAGCCTACAGATAGTTTCGTCAATTATGGGATATTTAGCCTAGACATGTAAACACTTAACAACACCACGTTTAACCGATGAAGAATGATGTGGGTTATAGGTTAAGGTGGCTCCATAGAGTTTTTTGACCGCGCGAGATCTGGGTACGAACATAGCACAAGCTTAAAAAGTGTCAACATGCAAAACAAACATGGCGGCTCGATACGATCGCACGATTGTTATCTGAAAAGGTGGATGAAAAACAGTTTAAAATAATGTGATGGAATCTAGGGTTTCCAGCAACTGTACCCGTAATATTAATAGGCCCTCTCCGCCTGAAAAAGAGGTCAACCGAAAAGAAAACACGGTGGGAAAGATTGCTAAAAAGGCGACAGATTCGAAAGTCTATGCATGCTCAGATACCGGCCATGGCGAATTCGATTGCATTACGTTATTCTTTGCTACAAAGAGAATAGGGATCTTTCGAATAAGATTTTATCGCTTTTCCTCCAGTGAAATTTCCTAAGATTTGCTGGACCGTTAAACATATTTGTGTCCTTCTTAGTGCGTAGTGCTTAGAGGAAGAAAACACAAAATTACAAATAGCGAGAAAAGTGCCCCTGTAACCCCTATTCTTAAATAATCGGCTGGACAATTTTGAGAGATTTCACCGAAGAAAATTGAAGAAAATCATTTTCTTAATATCTACTACAGCAAACGATGGTCCGAACCTTGCTCACGGAAATTTGTTTTGAAAAACAATACGCTGACGCGAGTGCCAACATTGAGCAAATATCCTATGGAGCCACCTTTAGTATTGATCCGATTGGGCTTCCTACGTATACCCGTGATTATATGTCCTTTAGCGTTTTCGCTATTAACCGTCTAAAGAAAAATTCTTTTTATGACGTTACCATCCCATTATCTCCATAGTTAAACGGGTCGAAGGTTATTCATTTTTTAGATTTTTTACGTCGTTGAGTTCTCGAATAATTTCAAAGAGTTTTAACACTGATCTATGTATGAGGAATAGTTGTCGAGGTTTGTTCTTCAAACCCGTTAATGTATTGGTTAGTTATAACTACGAACGCTGACTTATCTATGGCTACTCCATCCACTGGGTCTTTGCTGAAATGTATGTACGGACCACTTTCAATTTCGGCATTCTCATTTCAGCACGATAAGTGGTAGTATCTAAAACTCAGCTGACACGACCTTTGTAGTTGAAAGAATCAGAGTCGTTTTGTTAAAGTTTTTCAAGGGATCTTTTCCTGTTCGAGGATATTTAGAACCCCCTTTTCGTTCAATGTCCACTTTTTAGGGGACAACCCTCTTCAAAGATAACTCAGCTTTAGTGATGATCTCAGTTGCAGAAATGTTGTTTGGTGTTACCTTTAAATTGAAACCATTCCTAGGTAATGAAACCACCGCAATACTGAGGACCATGAGTTCTGCTTCAGGGCTATTTTTTCCTTTCTTTTTTACTTTTCAGTTAGAATATCAGGCTTCTTGATTACCGTATTAATTATACGCTCTATTGTTATTATCTGTCTCCTCTATAGAGTCCTGATAATAACAGACTATTACTTTTTCCTTTGGCTAAAGTAGTTGATTTTTTACACAGGTATTTTTCTTCAAATGTTATTACCTCACTTCACGATGGATTGTTCCTGAAGCGGGTCAAGATTCGGTCTCTGTGAGGGAATTCAATATACTCAATTAACAAGCGTAGATACCAAAAATCATGTGCGTAGTATGAACAGTAGAAATGTTCTCCTCATGCCCTATCCAACGTTTACGTCGGAACCAGATGCAGAAAAACTTCGAATGTTCTTAAGCTGTGCCCATTTATTTTGGCGTGTCAGCTTCTTTACATCTTGCACATTGTGGTAGTTAGGTCCAGACTTTATCTTCCTGTCATTTTAGTGAAAAAGGTTAAGAGAGATGCACAAAATATGACATCGTAATACAATCAGATTTTCTAGTTTGACTGATTACAAGGAAGGAAGTACGAACGAAAACTTGGGAGACAAACAAACTAACAATGGTCGTTCGTGACGTTCGTTCATTCTTGCTAAGTTAGATGTTGCTTTAACAGGTATTTGTCTTCAAACAAAATCACTTCTCTAAAGGAAACGGTGTTTGCTAATCTAACCAACCTAATTTACCTGTGCGTATTTTGAAACACACTTACTTTATAAAATGTTCTCTGTAAATCATTATTTAAACTGATTGCTCAATCTATATATAACAATTGTTTACATTCAATTACCTATTTCCTTTAATAAGTTTTAGATACTTCCTTCTTTCGGGAAAATTGAAATTGCCCTCTTACCAAAGAAACTCTGTCTCTATAAACCAAAGCGAATCTCATCAGCCAAAATGCTGGAGATAACTTGAAGCATTTCTAAAAATGAAAACTGTAGTTTTACCTTGCCGTACTGTTAAGGAGAGATATCAGAGATATAAACATTTCTTCAGTTCTGTTGTTCGTTCTTTCATGCGCACTTCTCACTTCTTTCTTAGTTAGCAGTCTAAGTTTAAATGTTCTTTTCTTCCCTATTTTCCCCAATCTTTGTGACTAGGAAGCATTCATCATTCACCCGGTTGAATTATTTGATCTTTCCGCAGGGATTTGTCTTCAAACATTATCACCTCTCTTCCAGAAGGATTGCTTAACAGGCAAACGAGGCTTGAGTCCCTGTAAGTAAAATTTGATAAGCGTACCCTACAAAATTTCTGAACATACTATGAAAAAGAAATTTTCTCTCCAAGTTGACTTAACTATGTTGGTACACCTCAGCCCTGAGCGTTTCATGTAATTAAAAAAAAAATTGGATACCCTTGGAATCGAATACAAAATAGTATAGTTTCCTACCAAATAGGTATTTTCCCTTTTTTCGATAACCACGATTATGAAGCATCACTTTTAATTTCGTGAGGTAATTCGTTTGTTCCCACAGGGACTTTTCTTCAAACGCTATCGCATCTGTTCCGGAAGGTTTCTTTGGCAAGCTAGCCAGGCTTGTAAACCTGTACGTCCAATTCGATTCTTTATCCAATGCTAGACTCACCATAAATTACCTGATTTCTCGAACTACAGAGACCCAAATGGCACCCGCACCTTGAAACGCTGGGACTTAAAAAGGAAAAAACAAGCAACTTTTACGGTTGGCCAACTTCTGCAGCCAAGGCCAACTCCAGCAGCAAGTTTCGTCATTATCGGTTGACTCACATTTCTATTCCACTACTGCAGAAACGGACACTCAATTATTTTTTTGTTTTTTTTGTTAGATTCCTCCATAGGAACAATTTACAACGCATTCCGTACAGACTGTTCTTTGTCTTGAAACGACTACAGATAATGTGAGTATACACGAACACACCAGTTTGGAGAAAATTGACCTGGAGAGTATGGTGAGGTTTCTTTTGGCTGACAAAATGCGCTTCATATTTGATAAAATTTAACGTATAGTAATAATTGATGTTGTAGTGGAATGTATACGTCACTTCTGCCGTAAAATACTTATGCCTAAGAAACCATTTACCGAACACTGATGATGGCGAAAAAGAAACCAAACTGTTTGAAAAGTTTCCTTAAATGTATCCAATACAGGAATTTTTGTTAACTCCCCTCCTAGTAGGGTGATCTGAGTAAATTTACAACACTATGCGGTGGACTTTAGGCAGACTGCATCGAGCAGTCTACAATTTTGAGGAAAATTTTTGCAATTGCCCCAATTTCAGAATCAAGGCCAAACCACAACTCTTTGCGAGAAGTGCATTGGTCTTTAACTGCTAACAAATACAGAAAAAATGAAGGAGACGGGACCTACGGTTTATCGTCCATCTCCGAGAAGACTAACCATTTGCAGGTCATTGTTAAGGCAGCAGATTCTTCTGTTATTTGAAGACCCTGAGTGTTGGTCCGGCCTGGGACTTGAACCCTCGACCTCTCCTTCGACATTCCAGCACTCTATTACCTGAACCAACCAGGGGCGGTAAATGTGCTTACAATAAGAGTTACGACTATATTAATGACAATAACGATCATGATAACGATGATATAATTCCTATCAATTTATCTTTTACTTTTAGAACACTATCCGATAATCCTATAAAAACAATCGAGCCCGGGGCCTTTAGCTTTGGTGTGTCTTCTAACACTAGGGTGTAAGTCATTTTAATCATCAGTCAGACTATTTACAAATGTTATACTATTCATTCTGTCCATTTTCATTTTCATTTTTTCACAATAATTCTATTTTATGGAAAAAAACTCTCTTTGCCAGAGAAAGTGTTAACTCTCTAATATTTAAATTTTCATATGAATAAAATTATTTTCAAAAAGTATAAAATCTACTCATATCATTCATTGTTTCATCTGATTGAGACGTCATCCTCATTCAGCATCTTCCTCGCTGTATGCAGTTATTCAAACATTTTTGGGTTTTTTTGGCAAAACTAATAGCTGTTTGTTACAGGTTTCTTATGCGAACAAACTTGAAAATATTCACCTCGGATTTCTTTACGGACTTCATCGCTGACAATCTTAAGCTGTAATGTACCAAATGAATGTCTAAGAGAATTAAATCAATTGACATTAACTAACTATTCCAACTTATCTGACGGAAAAATGTTGACCGCCATCTCGGTATTTCGAACTGTATGTTTTTAGACGTTTCAAGCCGTAATGTATCCAATGAATAAGACCAAATACTGTCACAATTTTATGCCGCTACAAGAAAACACCAATCGACGAAAACGCACCATTGACAAGATAATGAAGAAAAGGAAAGAGAACTCACGGTTTAAAGATCTTTGACCAAGAAGATGACCAACCATAGTGCTAGTGAGGAAGAATTAAGCCGAAATTTCCGGTGACCCATAGTGTGAAAATAGAAAAACACAGGTCCCATATCAACCATAATTCTCGACGACAACGACCCGGAAACGAGTGAGGACGACAAATAATTTCATTAATCACTGACTAGCCAAAAATGTGCTATGAGTCAGCGGTAACCCCAAAATTCGCTTAAATTTTCTGCCTCGTGTAGTTCAAGCCCCTCATTGCACTACTTCAGCCACTGCAAAGTCACTTTCAATAGATCACCGAAACTAAGCGTCCTCTCGATTCTGAGTAACTTTTAAAACCTTCAGAGTAACTTTTCAAAGTTAAAAACACTTTGAAAACGGCATAACTTTTCCCAAAGTATTGTAATTTCATCGATGGGGAATGTTTTTAGGCAGGCCTGGTTTCACTGCATTGGTGTTGTTTTACAAAAATAGAATCTCACTCAGCTAATTCGTGTGTTTTTCAGTTTATTGACGCAAAATGAACACTGAAATGGCATCCTACAAAATTGCGCAACGGCGTGCGTTTTTCACCCTCTTAATAAAAATAATTTTGCCCTCTGTATTTTAAGGAAGTAATCGTATGTTGCCTCGTAAAATAAAGACTCAATATCACTTCTATTTTCACTCAACAAGTGAGGAGAAACATTCGACAACGTCTCGTGTTTCTCCCTAAACCTCTTTCGTGCTCTAGCCGCTTCCCGCTTGCTTTACAACAGCACATAGCACAGTCAAGCCTTCTCTGTTTGTTAATTGTCTACGATTAAACTCTTTGGCGAAGTATACGCCAAGAACCAGATAGTAGCAGGGGCGTAAAAAGAGGCTGTTAAAAACTAATTTTTAAAGATGAACTTACGAATAATTCTCAAAATAGCAGAGGCTTTTATTTTTTTAATGTACTGTGGGCTACACTTGTGTTTCAGTAACTCGTGGCAAAGAATTCCTCGGATCATTTATTACTACAATTCGAACAGGACAACCATGGAAGTACATCTGTCAGTATAATGTGTATGGTCCAGATATATCGAACGATTCTTGGATCTTAATTGTTATTCGCCCTTAGCACCTCATGACAAACTAGTTGATTTTGGTAGTCAATACTTTTTTTTCCAGGAATCCACTCGATCCTCAAATAGAAGTTATCAAGTTCCGTCGTGGTGAAGCTTATTCGCTTCAAAATGCTATGCTACACATGGGTTTTACAAGAACTCGTATTGGACTTTACGACATACTTCAACCCTGTTCACTGGGAACGTTTTCAAAAGGAAATGGCAAATGCACAGAATGCCCTCCAGGTTTGTTTTAGTAGATTCACTGTAAGTAAGACATACGACGTGTGATTAACCCTTTAAACCCTAAGAGTGACCAGCATTTCATTTCTCCTTTCATCAACGCCACTGTATCCTTCATTACAATCATGAGAACAAGAGAACAACTGAAATGTTCGCCAACTTACGAAGCTTTGATCAGTTAATGAATTCTCCTTGCCAGTACCAAAGGAAATATATAGAGGAGAGTGTGGAATCTATGGACACTGTTCTCAGGGTGTAAAGGGTTAATTAACGATTAACTCGTTCAGCTTTGCTTCACATTTTGACAAATGTCTTCCTAAACTCAGGTACCAAGAATGAGTAAATAATAGGATTAACGCACGAGTTATCATAATGTAAAAACTTTGCAAAATAAGCGATCTCGTTTGGCATTTTCTGGAAAGACATGCAGGAAAATGCTACAATGTTTATGACCTGAAATGGCATCCAGGTGACAACAAACACAACAGTTACTGCAGACAGTATTACAGCGAGTCGTTTGTCATGTTCACTGGACCGCTTATGTCCGCTGTCTCTCCTGGCGAAACGAAATTTCATTTTGAATTATATTACCACATAAGATATGCAAATTATCGAGAGGGCGACGGAAAAGGAAACCAGCATAAAGTAGAAGAAAAACGGTAGTGAAAGGAGTTTTTCCTCAAAAAGGAATCGCAAACAAGAGACCAGAATAGACAACAGCCATATTAGGCCAGGAAGTCCATAATAGCTGTTGTTTCTGACGTGACGATGAACATGAGGCAACCAAACTGAGAATGCTCGCTCTAGGGCTATAGTAGTGAGGGTAAATGTGGAGGTACAGCCAACAAAAATATCAACCACCTTGTAAATCTTGTAACTATATTGTATCCAGACGCTGTAACCCTTTTTCCATGCCGCAATTAAGTGGTAAAGGCACATGGGCATAGCGAACGTACCAACTATCATATCCGCTAGTGCCAGATTTATCAGGAAGTAATTTGCAAGCATGCGAAGAAGCTTTTTGTTTGTAGAGAAAACGGTGAGGGTAAGGACATTGCCAACAAGAATGACAACATCGACAAATCCATACGCAGAACTCCACGCCATTAATTCTGATAAATTCATGTTTGGTTCTTTCTCATTTCCTTAAGTGGAGATGGAGGAGTTGTTCATTTTGATGAATCTTGCTTTGTAGAAGAACTACAAATGACAACAATAAAAACAAATAAATAAACTCAAACAAAAACTGTGTGCGTGCGGAAATATCAAGGAACCATAAAATCTAGTCGCGAAACACAGCTTTTTATGACAAATTTAATTCCGAAAACAAAATTTTTATTAAGACGCCCTGCAATAGTAGCGTCCGTTATGACATTGAGTACGTGCAAAGCATGCTGGATAAGTAACTACTCTGTTGAATGATAAATTAATGTACATAAGCAAGTCCATATATCAGGATATCTTGACATTTTGTTTTCTGTGCCATTCACGGGATAAAGCTGCATTCTTTTACTTTCTGTAAAATTCTGACTTTGGCGCACAACAGTAACATGGTATCATATATTACATAATTGTTAACCCTGTCTCCTCGAGGATTTTACTAAAGCAGGATTGAAGCTCTATTTAACTAGATTCATTTATTGACCCTGACTTAAGAAAAAAAAACATGTTAAGTTCTACATTGCACCCTTATGTGGAAAAAATATTTCAGTTTTCTTTGAGGTGATAACTTACCAGTTTCTAGGCCGCAAAAAATACAAGGAAAGGAAAAGTAGAACTTTACAGTACCATCCAAACAAGCAGTGGTGGCGATGGCACACGAACAAAGAACTAATGTTGTTGGAATCACTTTCTTGTGCAATCGAGACTGACGGAAAAGCAAGCCGCTGAGAGAAAATGGTTTTAAATGAGAAAGTAGCGTGTAGGAATATTTAATTGTCTACGATTGTGTTTCTTAGACTATTTAAATTGCCTAACGTATTGTTTTAATTACTGCTTGGCAAAATGAAGGTAAAATTCTAAGTAATAGGACTTATTATAATCGTTAATATATTCAAAACAAACAATCATTTTTAGCCAAGGAAACTTTGCGATGAAGTCAAGTTATCATGTACCTCCGGATGGAGACTTGAAGGAGAACACAGCTGATGAAGTACTGAATTTATCTTGATTTTCTCTATCCTTAAGTAACTTGAAGAAACACTGAATTTTTTTTTTAAGTACAATTTGATATTCCATAGTTTACCACTGAAAGGGAAGAAGCTAAAAAATTCGTGAATGAAATCAATTACCGATTCGTTGCTCTGTTAACTACTGATTCTATGCATGACAACATTACCAGGTTCACTTTAAAGTCACGTTCGATTCGACAAAGTTTATTTTCATTTCTATGGTACGAAAAACAATCAAAAAAGCAGACAAGCATTCAAAAATTAATTGAATTTTTTGGCTTTTTTCACCATGGCAATGTGACTCATTCTCATTTGGGTTGGTTATTAATGTTCCTATACCCACATCATTACTTCCAGTCACCCCTTGGTAAAACTCAGTAGCCTGGTTAATCATTGCCGTCCAATGGAAGTGCGAGTGGAAAGGAGACATTCTGACTGAAAAAAATTCGAATTACTTTGGTCCACATAGGAATGGAGTTGTTGCAGAGAATTACCTTGTGCAGTAATAACTTATTTCATTTCCTCAAACAAGCAAGAGTCATATGATTGAAGCATTTTTAGCGAAGTAAACATCTCTATCCAGAATTCACAGTATGACTTGCGCTGAAAAAAAAAATATTCCAAATATTTGTCGCTAACCACGAGCGAATACTTCTCTGTTTCACCTCTAAAATCAGTTACTTTTGTTTTTATACGAGGCGCATCCAAACTTACCCAGACTGGCTGTCGAATATTTTCCATTCGGCGCATATCTCATGAAAACTGTTTATTCTATAAATGTTTGGAATTACCCATTCACGGCTTGAATAATGGTGACGCGATTTCCGCAATTTCGTACGACTATACATCGCTGAATTTAAAATATGCAAAACAGTTATGACAGAGAAAAAAAGATAACATTAAGGGAAATAGTTAAGCAAACATTTTTCCATTCCAAAGTCTAAAGTTTGTCTTATAAAGCCATAAATTCAGTCATTGACCGCCTTAATTGCTAAATTGTTGACACTTACTTGAGTTCACTATTGTCTAATGACGGCATGATACGAGTTGATAAATGTGACTAACTGATCTATTAAAATAATGCCTTTTCGTCTACATAACGTGCAATTTTTTTTTGGATACGTCATGATTTATTGAAAAGTAAGAAAGCTGGCTATTTGCCCTCAAGCATTTTTCCAATGAAAACTTGGAAAACCGTAAACCATACCTTTCTTGAATTCTCCCAACCTCTTGTGTTCAGATTAGACAGTTTGTAAACACGAAAAAAGTCTTCTACTGCTGACATACATAAAAGTTCATCATTTTGATAATCTTGTTCTTCACTTAAGTCATTTCTCAATCTAGCCTAGCTTTGGACTTGCCTTTTTTTTTCAAGGTGGTTTCTATTCTGACACTCTCGGGTACGTGACTGAAAGCTGCAGGAGATGTCCTAACGGATCGTACGTTCCGTTCCACCAAACGCCAGGAAAGTCAATTCTAGATTGTAAGGCGTGCCCTTTGGGTAAGAAATTATTCTTATCACATAATTGTATTACTCTTACTACTTACTGTTCATCAAAGCCTTACGTACGTCGGAATTAGAATACGGGTAGTATAAGTAGCTCAAAAAATGTCGGAATGTAATTTAAGGAGCGGTTCTAATCGGACCACGCTGTACGGGTTTTGACCATTTTATTTGTGATGGGTGGAGGTGGGAGATGCTTCAGGGGTCCTTTTCTATTAGTTCCACAGCGCTAACCTGATTGCCGCCTGATTTATACAAAAAATGTATATGATGTCATTGTATAACCTAACTTTCGCAGTGAATGCGACGCCATCATAAATTCAGACATTTTTGTCTATTATCTGAAAATGTTTTAGCACTACGTACAATGAAATTACTTAAAAATTACTTTTTTACTTACTTTTAATAACAATGGCACTGTTATACATTTCAATAGGAACTGAAAGCGACTTTTTTGCCGGATATCGAGCTTGTCCATGTCTGGAAGGATTTTATCGAATCCATCGATTCGCTAAATGTCACAAATGCAAAGTAGGACGGTTATGCCAAGATGAATATGCCTCATTAAAATCTGGATTTTGGTGGCGGTGGCGTAACGAGTCATACAAACAGCGCTACCAGGATTTCATACAAAATCTTTTGGCGTCTTCACCAGCGCTGGATAATTCTTCCATACAATACCCACATGCGATCCCAACACCCTATAGATGTCAGGTAGAGGAAGCTTGCAGAGGAGGTTTGGATTCCACATGTGGAGAGGGGTACGATGGTCCACTTTGTGCAGTTTGTAGTTCAGGATATTACAAGCAACTGAAATCATGTGCAAAATGTCCTTCAAGAGCGTGGATTGCTACACAATTGACGATTATCGTCGTCGTTCTGTTTCTGGTTATTGCGTTTATGATGTGGAAGAAAAAAACTAAATGGGAACAAGACCAGGGCCACTACCTGATAGACATGTTCTTTTCTAAGCTTAAAATACTGATTGGTTTTTATCAGGTCACTCACGGCTTACTACAGGTGTTCTCATACATCGATTGGCCGGATTCACTGCAAGCTGTCGCCACATACTCAGGAATACTCCAACTGAATCTGCTTCAGATCGCACCTATTCACTGTCTATTTTCAGGATTACATGTAAATGCCTTTGGAGAATTGTTCCTGATGTTGACTTTGAATTTTAGTGTCATTGGCGCCTCAGGGTTTTGTTACGTTATCTATAGGTCAGTAACCTTGAAAAATGATGATCTTGAAGAGGAAGAGAAGTCGAGCAAAATTTCTCGAACAAAACAGCTGTTTTACAAAAATCTGTGTTTCTTCCTATATGTGACTTATCTGAGTACATTTTCCAAGACAGCAAGCGTTCTGCCATTTGCCTGCCGGAAACTCTGCAGAGATGACAAGGAAGAGCTGTGTGAAGAATACGCCAAAGCAGATTACAGTTTAAGATGCCAAGGACACATTTACAACTATTGGCTGATTTTGGCATACATTTCGACCGCCTATCTCTTTGCTTTACCTGCCACTTCGTTCATCGTACTTTGGAGGCATCGGAGAGAGATATCAACTATGAAAAAAGATAATAACGTTTCTGACAAGGAGATAATTGAGGGGCTGAAATTTCTTTCCGAAAACTATAAACCTTCTTCGTGGTATTGGGAACTAGTTGAAATGGCTCGTAAAGTTGTTCTTACCTCTGGTCTTATCCTTGTGGGACAAGAGAGCAGGTCCTACATTGGTTTGGCATGGGTTGTTGCCGGTATGTATGGAGTACTTTTCTCCTGGATGAAACCCGTACGGGAGGCCTCCGAAAACAGACTGATGACGACTTCCTTAGCTGTCACAGTTGTAAACATAGGCATTGGCGCTGTGAGCAGAATCCCAGGCGAGAATATATCAGACATGGAGGATAAGCAAAGAGAAGAAATCGCAATGAAACTACTTATACTGGGTGCCAATACCATGGTGATTGGTGTTCTTGTTGGTAAGAGAGTACAATGTATTTATAAGAATTGAAGGATCGAATTAAAGGCTAGTTTGGTCGCTCTGTAAAGCACGAAGTAAATTTTCCACCGAAACTATTTCAACTTTCAATGAGCCACAAGCTTAGCTATTCGCATATGTATGATTTTTTACTTACAAAGTTTTTATTGTTCCCTTCACCTTAAAACAACTGAACTGATAATTATTACAAAGTTTTCTATCATAAAGATAATGACTGGGGAGGAGCAGTATAATCTAACTAAGGGAAACAGCCATACAAACAAACAAACAAACCCGAACATAAGCAAGAATAGAATGGAATATCAATGGAACAACGAATATCGCCTAAAATGAAATTAAATTCGTCAATCAAAAAATTGTAAATGAGATATGTGATTCATATCCCTATTTCAGTTCAATACCTTGTGTTTTTGTACGAGTACCTCAAGGAGTGGCGCAAAAACCCACAGTGGTCCTTTTCTTGCTGTTTGGCTTTGCTTCTTCCAGTCAATGACTTGCAAGGAGAAATTCGAGGAATGGTTGGTAAAAACTTGATGAAAACTCAGCTTGACAAAGGGATATTGAAGAAACCATCAATTGCTGCCTCTGCGCTTGAAAGCGGAGCTATGAGATTCACTCTTTGTCATGAGGAACTCCAAAGCGAGGATGAACGAGAGGAACAGTTCGTCAAGGACAACGTTAAAAAATTTCATCGTTGGACACAAACAGAGGGTCTTTTGCCAACTTTCTCCTTAAAGGTGGAGTCTGGATTAACGGACGGCACAAAGCAGACTACTGAGTGAGTGCTATGACAATTTAAAATTAAGTGAATATGGAAAAACCTTTGGGCAGCATTTAGTCCACCTCGTCTGTAAAGTGAAAAGAAAGTGTAGAGGTCCACGCCAACCTATCCGACCCTGTGAAAAAACAAAAACAGACTGATTTGGGTAACAGACAATTAACTGCATCTTTTGTTCTTGGTAAAGTTACAACTGAAAAAACTTCAGAAAATAAACTCCATTTCGCCCACCCTTGTGTCATCAATTCTCGTCGCATTGCATATTTCATTCAAAAACATATGAATAGGAATACACGTTGTTGGTGTTGCAATGATTGCACATTGATTAGCCTATTTGGTAGCTCAAGTATTTGTTCTGGTATCATCTCCCTTCACTGCATCTCCTATAAAATCATCATTACGGCCTTGATTTTAAGTACGTAATGGCTCTATTCCCCGTGAAGGTGTAGTAATGGAAAAATTGTGTCCAAGATTGTCCAAATGTAAGTTACGGATCGTAGGAAAATGTTACCAAATTACCATGTAAAGGAAAAAGAAACACAGAAAACAGAGGAAACATTCGTGGAATTAAAAAAAATGCGAAACAACATTAATTTCACCAGAGCTATTGCCCTGAACTGAGGTAAAGAGACCATCCAAATACAGACATGATGGTAGACGTAAGGGCTTTCCTGCATACAGACTGGGTAGACCTTTTCAAGTGATAAGCTAGTACTGTTCTGTTCTTTTTCGGTTGTCGATTTCTCATGAACGACTGGGGTAATCATTGTGAGTAACGCCGAATATCGTCTGCTTAAGCTACGTTTCACTATTGAGGATGAAAGACATAAAAGGTAGGCTAGGCCTAAGTAAAGGTATTTTAATCCCTCTAAAATTTGTGCTGATTGTAACTCCGAATGTTTTTTTTTCGTAGACACCAGCCCTCTTTGCATCAAATGGCTGCAGTTGAAGCAGAATGCAATGCATCACCAAAGCTGAAAACATGCACGAAGAAAGAGGCAGACGGTACAGCATCATCAAAGCAGAAGAGAGACGTGAAAAAGAAGACATTTAGCGATGCGTCAGCAAAGCAGAAGGTAGACATGAAAAATGGAGCATACAATAAAGCACCAGCAAAGGAGGGGGAAGACATGGAGATTTTGGCAGAGGGTAATGATGTATCACAAGGAACAGAAGATATTCATTCACAATAAAGCAGGAGTCAATCAGCTATCAATCAATTATTTCATTTTTCCCAATAGCATCGCCAGACTTTGCAGTAGAATCATCTGTCAGCAAGTGTAGCAACAGTACTATAATCCTTCTTCGCATAGTTTGTTTTAGTGGTTGGTATAAAAAGCTTTGTTATATAAAGAAGCTCTCATGTTATAATCAAAACAACCAGGTAGCACTTAGTTAAATGTGTTCGTATCAGTCAAAGCTTATAATAATTTTAATATCTGTATTACATTCTTTATCTACTACTATGAAAAACATTTTGCTTATTGACGTACGGAAGAGAGGTTACTAGTCGTGTTTAAATGCATGGAAGGAGTGGACACATTTTGATGTTATGCGTGGTCAATTCAGCAGTATACAGAGAGTTAGAGTTAATTATTATTTTGTTATCCTATTCGGAGAGTCTCGTAACACAGGGAAATTGGTTATCATAGGTAAACTTATCTCGTCTAGTGAAAGCTGTTGCGAGATGCAGGCAGAACCCTGTTCGTACCAAAACTACCATCCCAGCATTTGGTTTTGATCACGGTAAAAATGAGGTCGGAGTAGTCAGTCCGTAAGATTAGAAATTCTCGAATTTTGCGACATGAAACTATTCATATACAATAAAGCACGAATAAGTGGTCGTAATCGTTGCAGTTGCAAAAGTTAGGATAGAAGATGAAGGAGGTGAACCCCAGATACAAAGTATTTACATGGAATTCATAGCTCTGTCAATATCTTAGTAAATGTCATATCATCTTAATCTTGCGAAATTGCCCAGGTAGTACTGCAAGTAATACTGACCTGAAATTAGAAATGAGAACATTAGAAAATTCCTTTGCAATCGTGGATAAACTATGGAGATAAGGTAAGAAAGACTACATGATCTTTCTTGATATCCATAAAGCCTCACACTTATTTGACAAAAAAATCGATTAGACTCGTTACTTCGCTTTGTGCTTCATCGACTTTTGAATCTTCCGTCAAGTGACGGCTACAGAAGGTACTCAGTTCTACAGAAACGATAAAGGGGTCTCTTTGAAGACTCTGGCGGCTCTTTTAGTAAATTGCACACAGAAGGTTTTATCTTACTTTTTTAGAGTACAGAACGATATCTTGAAAAATCCCCTTAATCTCCTTGCCAACAGCATCAATCCACCACAAAGCTGGGTGATCACTTTTCCTTTCGCCTTCCTGTTTTGAAAATGAAAGATACTGAAATTCAAGTGGTGGTTATAGGTACTGGAGGCTTGGTAACCAGATAAGGCTCCGAAGTACTCAGACGGGACTAAAGAAAAATAATTAAAGGGGTAAGTTTCTAAAGAAACTGTGATGCTGCGTCACTAGGAGAGTATAACAAAGTAATTTGGTATTATCAACTGAGTTGATAACGTAAGTTGCCCACCGTTAAGAGTTTCAAAGCTAACTTTTCAAGCGTTAGCCCTTCGTCAGAGCGAATGGAATATTTGTGAATTATGTGTGTGTTTATAGCAGAAAATGGAGCTACGCTATAGGTGGGAATAGGCCTAGGTGACGAGAAAACAAGAATATATTAGTTGAATCAAAAGCGCTCGTTAATACCGCGGGGAATAAAAATTCCGATTTGAAAAATAAACTTTTGTTCTAGAGTATTTGCGACGGCCGGGATGTAGGGAAAGGCCGAAAAGTGCCATACTCTGCTTAGAATGATTAGGGAAATAAAAGTGTCTAACGGCTGGTTCAGATGCGTTCTTGTAACTCCTTTGTACGCGGCGAAGGTGTTCTCAGAATTCGATACCTAGTCGTCTACCTCTTTCACCAATGAATACCTCTTTGCAATAAGTGCAAGTTATGCAATAGATGGCGTTGGCGGAGGTGCACATGGAGTGATCAGTCAGGGACCGCGCAGCAAGTTTTCGAGTGGGGGGGCTAAAGAAGAATGCGTGAAGGAAAATTTTTTTGTTTAATTATTTTTTGTTTAATTTATTTTTATTCTTGCAAAAAAGTGGGGGGGCTAAAGCCCCCCCAGCCCCTCCCTCTGCGTGGTGCCTGTCAGTAATCAATTGATAAACAAGTTGGCGAAGAAAGTGATCAAGCTTGTTTCATTTGATAGCCAGGGAAATTTCTCGTGCATAGTTGCAAGATATATGTTGAAAAGGCAAGCATAGTCTCAAAGATCTGATTAAAACCCACTTCTGCCGGGTAAGGACCGTTCATTATTTATCCCCTGAGGAGGTCGAGGATTTTTGTTGTGTCAACATAAAATTTACTTGATCTCCCATAAGGCTCTGTAGTGATGATCCCCCTTCATAGGTAGTCAATTTTCCATAGTCCCAACCCCCTTTCAAACTCTGTTAGAGACGATTCCCCCTCTGTTCCCTCTGAAAGCCATGCGATCCCTTCCAAAGTCCTCCTACCCCCCTCAGGCGATAATGATAATGTGAAGACTGGTCCCTATGGCCCGCTGAGATCATGCCATCAGTCTCTCACTACATTTATTGGCGCGAGGCGGATCGACAGACCTGTTCTCGAAGTCGGCGATGATATCTTCTGGCAAATGTTCTTACCCACGTAAGAGTAAGTTAGCGCAATAAAAAATTCTCTTGATCACAGGTAACTCGCTGATTGAGCACCGCTATTTATAAAGTGAGATTTCGAGTCCCCTGCCACCGCATTTCGCACTCGAAATTAAAAGGTCCGCCTGATCGCAGGTTCTAAACAGCCTGTTTGACATAAAACTATTTCGATGATTCAGATAACGTTTTGACCAAACGAGAGTTTGTTAGTCGTCTATTAAGTCAAATAAAAATATCGCTGTACACGAGAATTGGCAAAACGCTTTCATAGCTGTGCGGCTCGCCTTTAATCAGTACGCTACCGTCAACTCTATCGCACCTTGGGATTTACTCCACGCATCCAACCGTTTGACAACATACCGAATATACTGCTCGAAGTAGGAGTTGTTTATGTTCTTTTCTCTTCTCGCAGGTTTGAGTAATAGGGTTAAGCCCTATCGGACAGGGCCCATTTCAATGCCCATTTAAATGCGTGACTCAGAGAAGACCCCCGCACTGTGAGATTTTTCTTTTTTTCCCCCTCTCCCAGATATTTTTAGAACTCACTTTAACAGATCTTTCAGCCTAATCGACAGAAAAATATTATATTCAATGAGCTTCAACCCTCTCTTCTGAGCAGTATTCTCTTAACGCAAGATCTTGATCGAACCAAGCGTAATTATCAATGAGGACAGCCACCAAATCCTTTCCTTCCTAGCTTAAAGGAATTTGCTTTGAAGCCAGCTAATATGTTGTCGCGATAGGGTTCAATAGAGAGACTAAAGAAATACATGTATGTTATTTGCCGGCTGGGAGGTCTGTATGGTGAAAACTGTAACCGAGGTCGCAGTTTTTCACCATACGGATGAAGTGTGGACGTCTTGTATTCTGCAGCATCCACCTTTATTGATATCTGACGGGCTATACCAGTCACTAAACTACTCTCAACATCTAGTTACAAGCTCGGCTTTTATAGGTACGGTTGAGGATTTAGAACGTTCCGTAATATTACAACAGATTCTATTTACATATTGATTCATGGATGATTCAGCAAGACACAGCTACTTCTAGAACATTCTCGAAGGTCACACTACAACGGTTCGACCCTTAGCCGGTAAATAACATATTTATTTTTTAAAACTTGACGAAATTCTTTCCGAAAGAAAGCCAAGCCTGCCACCGTCATTTTGGATCTCCGCCTGAGTAGATTTAAGTCACGTGCTGGGCAACGTATAATCAATAACAAGATAGAATTTAATTTCAGGCCTATTTATCAATTTTGTGGTGTGTAACTTTCGCATTTTAGTACGTTGTATGTATGTTGAATCTTCAAATTGTCTTGAAACTTAAAAGAAAATTGTTCTTTAAAAATTCACTGAAAATCGGTAGCTAAAATTGTTTGTTTAGGTGTTATTTGATTTTCGTGTTAACTTGTTATTTCGTCAGTCGCCGGCATCTTTTGTTGCTTCACACAGGAAAAACACACGCGACGAAACGTAATGATCAATTTTGTCCTCAGATCTCACGCTATAACAGAATAAGCTTTGAACATCTGTAAACTCCGAGCGCTTAGCAGTAAGTGATATTTTCAATGAATCTTCGGATTGTTTTCAAGTTTAAGGATTGTAAATTACAATTTTATGAAAAACGAAGGTTGTTCTGTTATTTCAGTGTGAATCCTTGCATGCCTGCCAGTCGCTGGCGCCGCTTGTTGAAACTAAAACGAAAAATAAAACTCTTTTAAGATTATCATTGGCTTCTTTTTCACCCTACCACTATTCTTAGCAACAAAGGTCGCCATTTCGTCTGTTTATTGCTTGCCAAAAACTATCAAATGCACTCAAAAGCCTAAAATCTAAAAAAAATTTAAAGGAATCGACCAATCGAGCGAGCGAGCGAGCGAGCGAATGCCATTCCCCACATGGTATCTATAACTCGCTCTTGCGCATGCGCGCAATTCACGAGTTAAAAAGGCTTCCAAACAGACACCTGTCAATTAGAGAGCGCGTAAGAAAAAAAGTGCAAGAACATATGAAAAACAACTGAAGTAGTTTTGCAGGACTGTCCCGACGATGTGTTTTTAAAAACAGTCAATGATCTAACGGAAAGTGTTATTCACTCTCATCGACGATTAATTCATGTACGAAGATTTACTTCTGTTCATTAAGTAAACGGCGAGGAAAGTAGTTGTGAGTAAATTCAAATTTTTTTATTTGAAGTTGTGAGAATTTGCTGGTTTGTTTGCTGCAATGGCGTGTGTGAATCTGATCTTTCCTCCACAAAAACTAAATTCGAATGGCACACTCCAACGAGACACAAGGGGATTTAATGCGGCCTTTTCTCGATAAATTCCTTCAGTTTCTGTTGTAGAACTGATATTAAAACTTCGCTCGCTCTTTCACTACGCACAAATTGTTTAAGAAAATTCAGATATTAAATGAATGAAAGTTCCATCGTTCAGTTCAACTGTAACCAAATACCTCACGTTTTAACTTTCTAGGTACTTTTTGCGAACGATTAAAATTAATTACAGACGGTATTTAGGCCGCTTGTCAACCAGTGTAATGACACTATTGCTTATACAAATTCATTCTGAAACCAATATTTCTCTGTCAAAGTGATTTGAGAGAAAGAAAAGAGAGGATTCATAAATTATTTATCGGCTTGAGGTAGTGACCAACGTGTTTGCTTAAAAATACTGCCCAGCTGGAAAAACGAGATATATTTATGAAAAATGGCAACGAATTTTGGGATGTACTCGGCGACTCACGAAAGCGTTACCGTGGCCCTTAGGCAGAGATAGGAAAATACTTACCGGTAAAAAACCAATCAGATTACAGGACTCGTTACCGTGCCCTCTGAAAAAAAAATAAAAAGCAATATCTTAATAAGTTTGAATATTTTTCCATTTTGTTTCGAGGATTACTCGCTCAGAAAATAATGTTAAACAGTCAGTCGATGAATAAAATTGCAAACGCGAATAGATTAGTTAGTAACATCTGTCGGTCAGATATCAAAAAGGTCAGCTGTTTTAAAACAATGGCTTACTTAAGGAACGAATCACAAGCTTTTATTTTGGTGTAGGAACATCGGAAACCGTTGCTGAAAATTGAATAACCATTAACATAATTGACTAATTTTCAAAACAACTTGTCTGCTTTTTCTGGACGTTCCAGAAACTGTTTGTTTCACCAACATCATTACCAACTGAAAATTGAGGTTGCTTTCCTACAGAGTTACATATAAACAATATATTTTAATACCTTTTATTTTTAAAGGTAGATTTAAAGAGATAAAGCAGCATAAGGAAATTTATTTATTTTTCCTTTAAGAGACATGTTTCGGAAGATACTTTTTATGATTCAGAACAATGGTCAAAATTTGGTAAAAAATCTTAGAACAAGTACAGCTTAACTAGTTACGAACTAATGCTGAAAGTAAATATTAGGTTAACTTATCAAAAAACGCATTTTTTTATTTTTGCGGTAATTAATAATAACAGTTCAAAAGTGTCTTTGCCAGATCCAAAATTTACAATATAACAAATACTGTAAAGTAAAATTTTACATTTCGTCTTATTTCTAAGCAAAGAAGCCTTTGTTACCAAATAATAACTTTTCGTTTGAGTACAGCTGACGCAAGACGAGACAACAGTTTTCCTCCTGTACTCTACTCGGTGTCATAAAAACGTTTTTAGACTCAGAGGACGGAGAAAAACATTTTAATATGTTTCAGTTTTACAACCTAGTCCTTTCAGAGACCAACCTTTTAGTTTTTATTTTTAACGACTTCCTTTTGGAATCCACACTAACTTATTCACAAACAATGAATTCTAATTAAATTCAGCCTTCTCTATTTATTCAAAATAAATTACATAGTTGAAATAAAGAGGATTTAGAAATAGTTACGTTTGACTTGGCACTCGTTTTATCCGAGACAGGAGCTTCTATAGGTTTTTGGGGAATTATGTCTCATTTCTCAAGGCGTAATAACGATATTTTAAAACCGTATAGTAAAATTATATAACAGATGTTTCTCGAATTGAAGTCAGAAATTTGCAAACCAATTTGCTAAACACATGCACCTTTTTACTGACGTAGGGGAAAATAAACCAAGCACATTTACTCTCTTGTCTAAGAAAACAATCACTATTACCTCTTGAAGATAATGAGAGAGGGGCAACGAGAGAAGTAAAGTATGATTACAGATGCGTATGCATCGGGTGAACGTGGGAGATCGAGATCGAGATCGAGTTCCGTTGAAGCCGATATGTCAACAAGGTGCAACCTGCCCCCTTAGGGTAAATATGTATATATGTTTCCGGGCTTTATTTTTTCAGCCTAAGAAACAGATTGTTGCGTGATGAAGAGAAAACTGAAACATTGGAAAAGACAGAAAATTCCTGCGCGACATTTACTTATGAAATTGAACACACAAGATACCAAAAAAACAACTTTTTGGCTCAGCCTTTGCAAGTGCATTTATTTTGTTGTAGTTACCACATTTTATTCTGTTCCGATTCGCTTTAGGCTATGCGGGGCTTAAGGTAGGACCATACACATCAATTTGTAAATGGCAGAGGTGTCACAGCTACACAATATTGCTATATTAACATCGTCAAATTGTTTTTACTTAGCTCCGACATGAGGGGCACAGGCGTCTTTTCCACCTTGGGTATTCTCTGTGTTGTTTTGTCACTTAAACGTTGTAACGCTAACAAGACAGAGCTCATAATTGGATCGCTGGAAAGAAGCGAGGATAAAGACAGAGGGGTTCAACTTGGAATCACACACGCCATCCACGTCGCTAAAAACTCTTCGAGCTTGAAAGATTTCCTCAAAAAGTATGAAATAAGGATCGTTTCTTATCATACCAGAGTAAGTTGTACAAATGTTCATATTCAGGAATAATTTATCATGCTGCTGCAGGAAATACACGTTGCAAACAGTTGTAACTTGAAATAGGAGTTGATACCATCTTCAAAATTCAAATCTGTGCGATTGAAAACAACGGAGGTTAACTGCCGACTACTAAAGTCCTTCACAATATAACACTGAACACTTTTGTTGTTCAGCCTTGCTCCTGTTAATATTGTCAACTAGATATAAATAAAAACAAGATAAATTGAATTATTTTAAAAAGTAAGGGAGGAAAATGGGCGGATAAAGATGCACAGATACAACCTAGGCAACCAAGTGAGAAGGAAAATGCTGACGAATATGATTAACAATACATTGATCTATCCTACACTCGTTGCTATCATCTTTCTATTTACTCTATTTACTCTATTTACTCTTTTACCAAGACTTTACGTCACCTCCTGATTTAGATTTGTTACTGATCGGCATGAGAGCCCATGAAGTCATTCAAGATGGCGGTTTCTTTTTCAAGTTGTTATATTTCTTTGTGAAAAAGCAAAGTCTCACAGCTTCCCTGACAAATACCAGGGATATAAAGGACAAAGTCTTTTGGCACTTTAAACAGAAAGTGTTACATTTTCTCTAAGATTAGTCTAAAAAAATTCTCATTTATTTCCTTCTCGACAGGGAGATGTAACATCAAGTATTAATTCCGCCACTCATGCCTTAAGGTACAGGAAGGGCGGATTCCCTTTACTTCTGCTCGGACCTCAAACCTCTTCTGAGGCCTCCACGGTTCTTATGATCGCAAGATATTACCGAAAGTTAATGGTGAGGAGAGATAGTGAACGATCGCTATATATATCTCAAACAGATGTATTCCATTGAGTTTGATTGCTTGTTTATGGTGATAAACAGATCATTTTAGAAATCTGTTTTATGAACTAGTCAGTTGTTTGATAAATGTTTGAATGGCTTTTTACCTCATTGATGACACCATCTGAATGAGCTTAATTGAAGGTTCATGATCTGCAAATATGCCATTTTCCTCACCGTTAGCAGGAGTCTTAATTAAACTCAGGATGAAATGAAATGAAAAGTATAAAAGGTCAAATGCTGGAGCCCCGAAAAATTCTTAAAAGCGATGATCATGAGCTTTTCTTCTCAAAAAAAGGGCGTAGCAGGATAAATTAATTGCGTACAAAATTAACAACGACTTATATATATATATATATATATATGATATGAAAAATGAAGGATAAGCGAATAGAATGAAATTGCGTTCTTACTGTACGTTATACAGAATGCATGCATCTAGCTTCGGGCGACTCATTAATTCGTTAAGTGATCGTTCAATTGAGGTAAACGTTGTTTCAACCGGATTCTCTGAACCGATTTGAACCAAGTTACAAAATTAAAGCCGTTAACCGAGCTTGTTATTTAGTCGTAAGGCTTCATCTACGCTATGGAAATATCCTTCTGTTCGGCTCAGAAGTAACAAAATAAGTCACTATGGTCTTCTTCATTTTCCTCGTAATAGGTTACGTATCTGACGACAACTAACGATGACAGCGAGAGAAGGGATCCATACGGATTCACATTCGCTCCAACACAACTTACCTACATCAAAACTGTTTTAAAGATAATGAATCACTTTAAATGGAAAAGATTCGCGATTGTTTATGATTTCCTGGAGACGCAAGGTCTTTATGTTAAGGTATGGATCCATGTAATTCAGATGCCAATCAAAAAACGTTTTTCACAGATCTGAAGATAAAATTCCTTCATCAGCTTGTGGTTTATCCAGCACAATTAGGCAATCTATTCTTTATGCTGCCTCTTAGCGATATTAGTGTCTTCCCCTTGATGTTTGGACTTGTGGCAAATCTTCCAATGTCGATTTTCGTTCTCAGCCGCAAGAATGCCTTCACCAACGCCACTGATTACGTAATCTTTGTTTTGTTTTGTTTTGTTTTTTTTTCTTTCGTATTTTGGTTTTCTTCTCCTTCTGCGAAATGTTGAACTTCAATTTCTGCAAGCGATACGAATTTTCAGTGTTTTAGCAGTCATTGTCAGAGAAAATTTCGACAAACGACCGTGCATTGAAAATGGCGAAAGCTTAGTTTATAAACCGTAGTTTATATGGATAAAATACGCCTAAAATTTAGGCGTATGTATAAACTTTGACTGAGTAATGCGCAATATCACCTATTCACATGTGCATTTTCATGTAACTCAATCCGCCATAAAGTATGTCTTGCTTTTTAACAATTTTCATTCCAGAATGTTGAAAGCCTTATGATGAACACTGACTCTACGATAATTGGCCATGAAGCGATAAATACTGGTGAAGTTAATTTTAGAAGCAGAAACCAGGATATCCAAGACAAGCTTAGAAAACTAAAGGTAATGGTAGTGAACCTTTACTAGACAACAACTTCTTTATTATTTTATTAACTCGTCTTTTAATTCACGATTAATGCTGGCGAAAACTGTACACTGTGTATTTTCTCATTATTCTATCTTTAATCGCCCGTCTGAATAGCGGTTTGATCTCGCAAAATTTACAGCGATCTTCTTCCGGTTTACGTTAACACTTTAAACTCGAGTTTAAAAGTTATATTCATCAATGATGAATTGATTATTATTTTTAATTAAGGATTCAGATTCCAAAATATTCTATGGGGCATTCAGCAGCAGAGGAGCGTCGCTGGTATTTTGCGAGGTAAGGTGACATTGAACAGCTTGACTTGTAAACTCAGCCTGTATAATTTATCTAGTGAAAATCGTCCATGGTTGTCCCTCACTAGATTAGTAATTCATAGAGAGTCTTAATAGTACATCCATGTGCAAGTACTTTCCACAAGGGTTTGACTTCATTCAAAGGACTTGCGAATAAAAAAGATCTAGATTACTGCTTTTACGCTTGGTTCAGTCGATGTTTCATTTGTTCCAGTTAGAGACCAAATATTTTTTTAAAGGGTGGGGCTGTTAGAGAAGGGCATAGGACCGACCTCTCTCTAAGGAGATGTATGAATATTTTCTTTAGATGCATGATACTGATGATCGTTAATTTAGTAATTTCTGATTATAGGTATTCAAAATGGGTTTGTTTGGACCAGAGTTTGTTTGGATCTTGCACCCGAATGCTGGAAACATCGACCTTTGGGTTCGCAGCGCCGAGATTGAAAGAAGAAAGAACCGGTCTGGCCTTTGTAGCAGAGAACAATACCAACAAGTAGCAGAAAGAATTTTCATACTCGACAAAAACATCATAAATCGCAGTGATGAGAATACAACTACTGCTTCAGGCTTGGTAAGAGTCATAAAATAATATCTCATGAGGATGGACGATTACCAGAGTGCTTTAAATTAAAGTGGCTTCATTGGTGAAAATAGCTTTGTTTAGTGTATTGAATGGATGATAAATTTCACTTTTTTTGTCCATTTTTTCATGGACAATGGACTCACTTATTTCAAGTAGTAATTCCTACATTGATTGATCGATTGTTTAAATTATTGACTGGTTGATTTATTGACAGACTGACAGATGATTAACCCTTTTTCATTCATTCATTCATCCCTTACATCAACATGCTCATTTGTTCAATCGAACATAGCCAATCAGTCAGTTACTCAGGCTGCCAGTCAGTTGGCAATTATCTATTCTATCACACTTCTGTTTCCTTTTATCCTTTCAGTATCTCGTGCATATGATATTGATCGTTTGAATACTAGATCAGTTATTTATTTTCAAATATTTGTTTATGCGTTTATTCACGTATTTATGTCTGTCTAAAGTGAGCATCACGTCACTTAAAACTTTATTTTCTTTCCTTTTGTAGACTTTAAGACAAATATTCAATACTCCAGATGTGGGAGCCTTAAGAAAATCACGGAAAATCGAAATGACCATTGCGTTTGATACAATGTGGGGCGTTATGCTGGCTTTGAAAGAAAGCAGTAAGGAACTGCCAAACTCTATGCCTCTGGAGGAGAATGTGAAAAGTTTCCTTGGAAATGCCCGAATAACGAAAACCATAGAACTCAAATTACGTAATGTCAGCTTTGAAGGACTCACGGTAATTTGCAGTACTTTACTTCTGCATGATCTTAACAATGTGTTAAAATGTGAAATATGATGGGAATGATGACTGTTACCTTTCACGAGAAGATGTTACTTCACGGACTAGTGGAAAAATATTGAAGGTCACGTAAATAAATATTTTTAGGCTGTTAGGCATGCTTCGCAATTGCGAGCAAGCTGAGCCAATTTGCATCCTTGCCCCTTAAACGAATGAAGAAAGAATACGCTGTCAGCTCCGTTACTCTTTCTTTCACACATAGGGACCTGTTTCATTTACTAAGAATGAGGAAAGAAGTGGAATCATAATAATAAGGCAATATCAAGGTAAGAGTTTGCGTCGAATATCAAGGAGAAACTGGGAAACCAGACCGAATGAAAAAGTATGAAAATGACATTCTTACGTTTTCGGAAAGTGTGTTGTTTGATACCCTCAACGAAACACAAATAGTAGCAGTTTTCAAGGTCTGATTTGTTTAAAGGTGGTATCTGTTTTAAGAACGGTGAAATGAGCTACTTCTCATTATAATGTTGTGGATACCGTAATAGAGAGTTTTCCCTCGATTTATGCAATGGAATGCACTTGCAATACACTTGCAATGCTCTTGCAATGAACTTGCAATGTTCTTGCAATGCACTTTTAACACACTTCCAATGCTCTTTCAATGCACTTGTAATGCACTTGCAATGCACTTGCAATGCACTTGTAATGCTTTCCAAAAAAGAGACGAGTCTGTAAAAATGTACGAAGGAAAAAAGAGAGGTGAGAGAAACATTTCGTAGTGCACCTTGGGAAATTATTGTTTAGTTATTTCTACCGTGCCATAGAAAGTACAAAGGCTAGCATTGTTAACGTGATTTGTGTATAGACTTCATTTTTAACTCCTCTGAGCGACGCCCTTCTTGTCTATGATCCTGACCACACTTATGAAAATATATATTACTCATTTCTACAGCCGATAGAACGACGCTGGTTCCCATTGGTGAGTACCATATTATACAAGATAAATTCGTGGTATATGATGAATTCAAGGACACTTTGTGGAAAGGTAAAGTTGAGTAGTAATAATGCACTTACTTACTACCATTCGTGAAAGAAAACAAACAGAAAACGTTATTTAGTGTCAATTCATCACCGATAAGGGAGAAATTAGCGCAGCGGTCCAGCACTGTTTATACTTCATTTCCTATTATTATGCTGTGCACCTTAAGCGCCAAGGATGGAACTTAATCTCGGAAGCGATTGTGAGATCGAATCCAAGTATTAGCAATTTGTTTTGTTTCATTTGTTTATCTATTCAGTCTTCTCCAAAAGCATATGCTTTATTATTTCGTTGACAGAATAACCATTTATCATTTATTTATTTTTATCTGAATACCCAATGCGCCCTTGTGGCTGCAAAGATTTTGGCTCTTGAATTTTATCGAATTTTTGTATACGAGAAATTTCCTTTTTTCATTGCCGAATTGCTGGAAATCGACAAGCAAAAACCTTGGTCACGGACTAATGTACCGGCCCTTGTCAAGGCAAGTATGGCTAACACTTAAGAATCTCAACTTGCTCGCTCCGAGGAGAGGACAACGTGGGAGAAACCACCTAAGACGGCTAAACGATAGACCTATCGATGTTATTATTCGTGTAGAGCGTCAACAAAACTTCCAAGAGAAAAGGCGTGGTGCAAACCAAAGTAACTTATTAAATATTCCAGTTGACATCTTTGCAACTAAGACAACCTCTCATGGGACCTTGCATTCAACAATCCATGGAAATAATTCTCAGATATCAAAAGCAACCGTGGCACACTTGAACTTGCGATCGTTGAAGACAAGAAAGCATTTGACTCAAGTGAGGGATTTAATGGATGAAAAGAAGTATGCAATCTTAGCAATTTAAGAATCTTGGCTAAATTCAAGTGTAAAAAACGCCGAGATCGAAATTGACGGATACAGTTTGTCAAGACTGGACAGGCCGAGAAACGAAAAGAATGAGTTTGGTGGTGGGATGTGCGTGTACATGCGCAAACCCTTGAAGTCTAAAGTACTTAAAGACCTATCTGGAATATCAGACACTGGTTTTCACCAATTATGGATGCAAGTTAAGCACAAAACGCTTGAGTCATTCTTGCTGTGCGTCACTTACAAGCCTCCTGATTCTGATATTGCCTGCTTTGAAGACTTCAGGGACCGTTATACGCAAGCGCTTGTTTATGGCCTACCTATTCTAGTGGTCGGAGATCTGAACTGTGATTTGCTCGTTAGTTCTTCGAAATCAAAAACATTAAACAACCTGTGAACAAGTCTGAATATGAAGCAGCTCATTACCCAGCCTACAAGAGTGAAGAAACATCTAGAACTCTGATTGATGTCATTTTAGTTCAAACCCTGCAACAGCTGTGGACATCGGTATAGTGGAGACTCACATCAGTGATTACTATTTAGTCTTCGCTGAGTTAAATCTAAGGATGCCTAAGCCCCCGGCTACTTACGTTGTCGCTAGGAGCTATAAGCACTACGATCCTGAGAGCTTTTTGAGCGACCTTAACAAGATCCCTTGGTATGAAAACATTTTATCTGACGATGTAAATGAGAAACTGCTCCATTTTAATAAAGCCTTAAGAAAATTAAAATCAAAAATCGGAGATGTCCATTTATAAATGAAGATATCAAAGAGAAAATGGCAAAAAGACATCAAGCTCATAAAATTGCGCGAGAGACGGGTGCTCTGGTGGATTGGCAGTATTATCGGGACTGTCGTAACGACGTTAAGAGGGTATTACGCGAGGCGGATAAGGAGTATGTCCAGAATGAGGTTAAAAAGAATCAGAGCTCTAGTGAACGGTGGAAGGCGATACGGAATTGCATACAAACTAGGGAGAAGTCGCGCTCAACTTATTCTAGGGATATGAAAGAACTTGCGACGGAATTTAATGAATTCTTTACGGAGGTGGGAGTACGTGCCGCAGAGGAAGCCAAAAGACTCGCATCAGTCAATGGTCTACCTACTTCACATCAGGAACTCCCTTTCAATTTTATACCCGAAGAAGATGAGTTTCAATTTCGAGCTACTACCTCTTTCGAGATCAATAAGATTGTACAGTCATTTCCTTCAAATAAAGCACCAGGGAAAGATAAATTACAAATGGCAGTGGTAAAAGATGCTCTACCGGCTATCCTCCCGATTTCGACTGAGATCATAAACAGTTCACTTTTGACATCTGTATTTCCCTCATCATAGAAAGAATCTGATATTGTTCCAATTCCAAAGGATGGTGGAGATCCGGAAGTAGCCAACGAGAATAGACCTGTGTCGTTGTTACCTGCCCTATCTAAGATATGTGAACGAGTAGCCTTAAATAAATTCACCGAATATGCAACAAGGAGAAACTGTCTCAGTGGACACCAGAGTGGGAATAAGAAACGGCATTCGACAGACACTCAATATTTTGACGTCAGATCTAGCCCTGGAGGCAATGGATCGCAAGCAAGTCACTGCCTTAGTGTTATTAGACCTTTCCAAGGCATTTGACAGCATTGATCACATGTCCTTGTTAAAGAAGCTACGTGCAATGGGTACCTCTAAAGAAGCAACAGAATGGTTTAGAAGCTACTTGACCGGAAGAAAACAGTGGGTGAGAATTGGTTGCGAAACATCTGAACCCCGCCTAGTCTCGTATGGTGTACCACAAGGATCAATCTTGGGCCCGGCATTGTTTAATATCTACATCAACGATCTACCATCTGTACCTAAGGTAGAGTCGTTAGAGTGTTATGTTGATGACTCACAGTTATACCTCTCATTTCCTGTAAGTGATGCCACCTTAGCCGCAGATCAGCTGACAGAAGATCTTTGGAATATTGCCGCATGGTGTTGCAAGAACATTCTACTCATTAATCCGGACAAGACAAAACTTATGGTTCTGACGAAGATACCAGATGATCTAAGCATTACACTACTCAGCAAGGAGATTACATCATCTAAGTCTGCGAAAAACTTGGGGGTTACAATGGACTGTAATCTAACGTACGACAAACATGTAACTCAAATAACTTCGAAATGTACAGGTAGCCTTTGTCAAATTAATCGCGTAAAATATCTGTTTGATAGGCGTACGTTGATCACTATAATTGATACTCTAGTATTCAGTAAATTATTGTATTGTGCATCGGTATGGGCTAATACCACCAAGAAAAATATTGAGCTATTACAAACAGTGCAAAACTCTGCAGCCCGGATAGTTTCTGGAACGAGAATATTTGATCACGTTACACCTATTCTCAAGCAGTTACAGTGTCAGAAGTTTAAAACCAGATCGGAAGTGCACCTCTGCAACACTAGGAATAGGGATCGCCTACATATACCACTCTGTAGGAGAGCTGCAGGTCAGCGCGCATTTACTTTCAGAGGCCAAAAGCTATGGAATAGTCTCCCAGATGAGTTTCAGTCTATCACAATTTTCGATGTATTTAAAGTAAAAATAAAACAACATTTTTTAAGGGTATTTTTGGAAAACTAAGTTTTAGATATTTGACATTATAAATTAAGCTGAAAAGCCTTTTTGAGGAGGTTAATAAAGTTATTATTATTATTATTATTATTATTTTCTGCACTCGAGAAAGCAATAACAGAAGTGTAGAGTGTATGCCTCTCTTTTCCTACCCCTTTGAAAAATAATAATGAAAAAGATAACGAGTTCTCGTTTCAGAACACAAATCACATTTCTTGAGTATTATGTTTTGCGGTGGTCGAGTATTTAATTTCGGTATCAAACGGAATTTATACACGGGGCCTTTGAATTCTGAAATGTAAGATATTTTCTTAACAAGCGCTCATTTGCGCTTTTCTTTATGACGTCATCCCATCACACTACTTTCAGATAATCATCAACCTATGGATCACTCACAGAGGGAACTAGAGTTCATGAAGATTCAAGTGCCATTGATAGCAGCTATGTGGGGGTTTGCAGCTATTGGAATAGCCTGTTCATCAGGTTTTTTGTGTTTCAACATAGGAAACCGTAAAAAGAGGTGAGACACGGGACGGAGGTAAATATTTTTCGTTTGCCACTCATGCATTTCAAACTTTGTTTGTTTAGTTGTATAATCAAATAAAAGGCGACGGGATGGGATCATATTTTGGCATGCTCAGTGATGGAAGTTTTAAAAAGTGTTAGCCATTTGGATGGAAGTATAGAAATTCAAACTTTCCCATTCAGCTGAACCTGGCCTGAGGCTTGAATTGGCATGTTAGCCTCCGACCTGTAAATAAGTTATTATTAATAGTGCAACTTTAGATCTGAAACTCGCCAGAGCGGTTTAGAAATATAACATACACAAAAGGCCTTTTCCAGAATGTAGACCTACTGTGTTGAAGTAATGTCGGTGTGAAGTTCGAACACTTTTGTACGGACCAAATTACCTTCAGGAAGAAATTTTTTTGTTGTTGTTAACTAACTCGTCACGCGATGGTTTCATTTTGTTTAGTGTTATCAAGATGTCCTCACCTAACCTCAATAGCATCATCGTTATGGGTTGCATGTTGTGTTACGCCGCTGTGATTTTGATTGGACTCGATGTGAGGTTCCTGTACGTGGAGGAATACACCTTCGTTTGTAATGTACGTCTGGGCGGTGTTTCTGACTGTGTCAAACAACCTTTAAAAACTAAAAATGTTACAAAAATTCTTATGTTTCACGGAAAATGCCCATTTCAGTTTCCTTTCGCTTGACAAATTATGATTTCGGATTCCCAGTAGCGGATTGCCGGAGGTGGGTGTGGGGGGGATCCAAACCTTTACCTTACAGACCCTTGGGTTTTTGACAACTTTTCCAAAACCACAATTCTTGTAACGACAGGATCCTGTATCACTTCTCAACAGGCTAATATATTTTCTTTATTCAATTAATGACCCGTCAGAGTGAGAAACACACGAAACTAAGTTTCAGGTTTCATTGAGGTGGTACCCTAAAACAGTCCGCCGCTGCTTCTTCATGCGAAAAAGAAGCATTGACCAGCCTTTAAATAAACTGGCGCTCGTCTCTCTCCTCTGGAAAAAGTAGACATAATGACTTGTGATGTGTCACCGAGTGAAGGAGGGAGGGAACTGCCCTTGAAAAATAATCTATCGTAATGGTTGTATCTGCTGTTACAGCCAGGAGATCGCCATTAAAGATAACATAAAAATTTGATCTTCGATGGCAGGCCCGAAGTGCAGTGTTGTGCATTGGATACTCTCTCTCATTTGGCGCAATGTTCAGCAAAACCTGGAGAGTTCACAAAATATTCACGGCAGGGTTAAGTCGTGACAAAATGGTGAGAAACCATACCTTTTTCACTCTTTTTTTTTTTATTTAAGTAATTCACCCAGAATTCATTAGAGTAAAATGATTTCAAATGTTTAAACACGTCTGCGAGGGGCTACATCTACCGCTCTTTTAACACCATCTGCGTAACAGCTAGCCTGTAAATTCAAACTTTAAATTATATCCCTCACTTTCTTCATTTCAGGCAATCAAGGATAGCCATCTGCTAGTTACTATAGCTGCATTGCTGATGATCGATGTGGTGTTTTTGTCCTTCTGGATTTTAACAGATCCGCTCCAAGCTAAAATACTAACGTTTGAAGAGAGGGTGAGAGATTTCATTTTTAAAACGCGCATTGAAAAATCGACCAAGAAAGATGGCAAATTTTAATTTTAACCATGGAATGATGAAAAATGTTACTCGTTTTTGTTAAGAGTGAAGGGCAGAGAAAAAATTTGAATCCGCTACGTGGAATATGAATCCCGGATTTGCCCTCTGATGCTCTATCGAATGTTACCGAGGCCATACTTGTGTATAGCTTAGCTTTGCACTCCAGCTCTCCGTAACTCAGTGGTAGACAATTCCAAAGGCTTTGTATTTGTTTCTCCGATTTTTTTTCTTGTCCGACGCTCTTGACCAAAGGAACTGAAAAGGAAATATGCAATTTAAAAGACTGGTTCAAATCTGTTCTGTTTTATACATGAACAAGGTATTGAAACTTTAACAATGTTAACAAATTAAAACGACCAACACGGTGGGTATGTTCCTAATAGGATTCATCCAAGGGTACCCTTAGTAAAAAAATTTTCCCAACCCGGCAGTCTTTTTTCAAGATCATAATAGTGGCCGCCTTGCATAACAGCCAAAGCTTTTACGTATTTCCTGAAATGAAAACTGTCTTCATTGGCACCACTCTACAATGAATACTTAATTCTATGCAAGGTGGTCTTATCAGAATATTTCGATTGCATAGGGATGATTTTCCAAATCTGAGTCGGGACGTACCGGTTTCACAAATGGAAGGTGGCGATTTTTATTAAACATTACTCTTGATTCATTGGGAAACTATTTTAGTTAATTTTTTTAATTAATTTCATTATTTGATTATTTATTCAGGCCAGCCTGGAAAACCACATTGTTACTATCCCAGCGTTGTATCAATGTACTTGCAGATACAAGACGTATTTCCTTGCGTTCGTGTTTACCTATAAAGGCTTGTTATTGTTATTTGGTATTTTTCTTGCCTGGGAGACACGCAATGTTGCTATTCCTGCTCTGAACGACTCCAAGTACATCGGGATGTCAGTTTATAACGTGTTCGTTTTGTCCATTATTGGTGCGTCTGTGTCTCTGGCTTTTCAAGGATCTGTGCACTACGAGGCTCCATATGCCATTTTATCAATATGCCTTATCATGAGTACATCTGTCACTTTGCTTCTGGTGTTTGTGCCCAAGGTAAGAATCTTGAACGTTCCAAATTAAACCCTACCATGAACACCCTTGACTATGAGGATTCTAGAATTGACTTGATTTTGCTCATGTTAGATACATCAAAGCGTCGACATAAAGCAAATGCACTGGTAAACCATTCAGTTGAAATGGATCTTTATTCCCTCCTGCCATTCGCCAGTCCATATTAGCACTCTTGCTTGACGAAAGGTATTGTAAAGTAAAAAACGCCATGTCCAAAACCTCCACGCAATGTTTCCTGGGTTGATTCCGGTATGGTCCTTTCGAAACAGAATTTCATTTTGCTTTTAAAGCCACTGGAAATTTCTATTTAGTTTTTAATGAAATATTAGGTTTGATGGAAGAGGCATGCAACGCCAGGCAAGAAATCTATGCAACAGTTGATGAGAAACTCAGCACCATTAAGATTTTTATTGTTTCATAGTGGAGTCGAGGAATGTGTCTCAAAGACCGATAAACCTACTATATTTATGTAACATAACTGTATTTATGTATTTATTTATGGCTACTTTATTTATGTAACATAAGAAACATTATGTTAATCGGACCCATAAATTCACATCGTTTGTTTCAGATTTACCAGTTTCGCACTAAGGTAAATGAAGCGACCCAAAGCATCCGTGTCCGTGAATTGATGGAGGGGCAGATTTTTAATTCTATTTGTAGAGCAACACAAACAGACCTCGGCGTATCAGAACTTAAAGGTAAA